GATATACAGAACCAGCCTATGCTTACACTGTATTTGGTTCTTCATTGTTGCTTTTTTCTCAAACTCTATCTGTCTGAAGAGTGACTGTAGTAAGGTTTGAGAGTGGGTCATGTTGGACATGTCTAATTCACCCCACTACTTCCAGAATCTTGAGAGCAAGGCTAAGGACTCCAGGAATTGGTAGTCTAGTCCTTAAAGGTGGTGGGTGCATTGTGTGTGTGTGTGTGTGTGTGTGTGTGTGTGTGTGTGTGTGTGTTACAAAACCATAAATAATTATCATCCCCCCCAAAAAAGATTCCCATGTCCATTATTAATCATCCAAAATGCAAATTACACTTGCATTTAGCTAATTGTACTACTCTTGTTTAGAAAAAAATTTTTCGGTCCTAGATCTAAGTAAGCATAGTGTGAAAGGGGGATGGAGTAAAAGTGGAAAAGGACAAAACAAAACAAATTCAAATGGAATGAGCTAAGAAGCATTAAAAAGGCCCAAGACATGTCATCCCTTGCTACACAAGATCTGAAGATATGCAGACCCATGTTCCTGCATTTTTACTCAAGGTTGCTATCAGTCCAAAACACAAAGGAAATTATGACTCCAGGCAAGAAACTCACATCTGAGAACTTGAGGAGAGCATCATTAGAAGTCATTTACCAAAGTGTGGCCAGGGTGTGAAAAAGTCAGGGAGCTTTTAGGAACAGGGTGGTTAAAAACTAAGTTTGTAAATAAAAGAGGAAGGAAGTTCTGTGAATCCGAGAAGGCCATCACAAAGCATATAGCCTCTGAAGGGAGCTGAAAACTACAGGCCCTTGCTTTACTCACCTCCCTTCAGGGATCCCTGTGGGCTGAACCCAATAGAAACTGGGTAAGGAAACCTGTTGATCCCACCCCTGGGCAGCCCAGGTGACTACAAATGGGAAAGAAGAGAGTGGATGTGGAGACACAAATGGACATAGACTGTGTCACAGATATGAGGGGACATCTCCTCCCAGAGTGGGAAGGAAACAATGAGCAGCCATGGCACAGCTGTGGAACAGCTGTTCTTTTGCCTCTCTGGGGGCCCCTCCTAGGGCTCTCTCAAATGGCAGGAGCAACCTCAGCCTCTCCCCCCTTTCCCACAGAATTTCTCTAACTAGCTCCAACCATAAAGCTGCATCTGCCACTGTGATGAGCTGTGTTACATCAGTGGGCAAGCAATTGCTGTCCTCATTATTTAAAAAAAAAAACAAAAAACAAAACCTGTCAGCCCTTCCAAGGCTATATGAGAAGCCCCACCATGTGCTAAGTCCTGGAGGGACTCCTTCAAGTAAGTTTTTTCAGTGGTAGCTTACACAAAAGCCAAAACCTCCTCAAAGCACACCACTATTCCCCAAAGGGGCCCAGTACCATGAGAATCAGGCTACTTGGAACTGTCTTTTCTGCCTTTCTTTATCCTGAAAGAGAACTCTCTCAGTGAATAATTCCTGGTCCATTCACACAGTTGAAAGCACTTGAAATCCCTCTCAACTAGAACTGAACAAATGACTCATTAACAAAAAAGGACAATTTCCACTGAGGCCAACAGCTTTATTTGATACTCACAGAGTTTAACTAATAAGAGAAATTCAAAGGAAAGCAGTCAGATGAGAAAGCCAGAACCATAAATTCAAGAGACAAAAGCTTCATGGTGGTGGTATAGGAGGAGACTAAGGGAGAACTTCAGGCAGGAACTGCCATGCTTTCTGCAACATGAAGAATATCACCTGCATATTAAGCCCCCATAGCATCACAAGTGTGAGGGGCCTTCAGAGGAGACAGGCTAAGAAGCAGATGTGAGATTCATGAAGCCTGGAGTTTGTGCAATACAGGGAGCCTTCATTGTCAAAATAGAGGAGTCACGATCAGATTCTGAACCTTGTGTGGCTTCTGTGAAAAAGAGGGCTCTGAAAATTGAGCTTCTTGTTCTGTGATCTGTCAGTCAGGTATCTAGCTAGCTAGATGACAGATAGATAGGTAGATAGATAGATAGATAGATAGATAGATAGATAGATAGATGATGCATAGATGGGTAGATAGATGATGGATAGATGGGTAGATAGATAGATAGATGATAGATGATACATGAGAGATGATTTCAGGTATTTATAGCTCAAAAGATATGAAAAAATACTGTTGGGCAGTAAAAATGCAAAACTGAAGAAACCCTGCATTCACAGAGAAAGGGAAAATAGGAAAGATGCAGTAACCAGAATTGAGAAAGTGTAAATACGGCCAAAATCACTTCCCTAATCACTATGAGGCGGGCAAGATGAGCCATTCTAAAGGCAAATTCTTGTGGGGGAAAAACACTGAGAACTGCTTTGTGAGTCTGTGCCTTGTGAAGGGTGGGGTAAGGCACAGGGAGATTAGTGTGTGGTATAAGATGAGTGGCTCTGAGAGGGATGATGAAGAGGTATGCAAAGGTGTTCATTGCGGCCTTACCCTGAAAAGCCTGTGGGATCCTCTAAACATAATTAAAGTAATCCCTCAATAACAGGCCCTAGAACAGAGAGACTGTCCTCACTTTTTCTGAGTGAGCGAGGCGGCTTTGAGGATATCATTGAAAATCACTGGCAAAGCAGGACGTTGGGGAAGTCCTCCTTGGTGAGCCATGCTGAGGTGCCTGCATAGCACTCGGGAGGGTGCTTACCACATTACCTGGCATGAAGTGTTAGCTACCATTAAAGTGAGTGGGAAAAAAGTAATTTTCCCATAAAATTATACTTTGGGAAATACTATCCGTTCCAGTCATCTATTGCTGAATACCAATACATTGACCCAAAACAGAAGCCCGTATATAACATCAGAAGATTTTGTGGGTCAGGGACCTGGTCTCATCGGGAGTACTGACCTGATGAAGAGGTGTCACTCACAGGTCAGTGTGCTTTGTCAAGGACGCGTGGAAAGCTGACATCATTAGGACTCAGGAACGGTGTCTGTGATGGCGTAACAGCCTAGGAAAGTGGCTTGGGGCCCCTGAAACAAATGTTCTGAGAGAGAAGTAGTGAAATCCTGTGACCTGGATCCTGAAGTCTGGAACATGACTTTTACCTTTATCATTCGGTCAAGCAAGTCAGTGAGGACAGCCTGGATTGGGGGAAAGAAATAAGACTACGTTCAATAAGAAGAGCACTCAAGACTTTACAGCATATATAGAGAAATGCATGGCACCATCTCCAGACAGCTGAGCCCGCATCACTCAGAACACAGCTGCTATCTGTGGAGCTTTGGTTCTTAGTAGGATATTTCTTTCTGCTGCTAAATGTTTCATCTGGACATCTGTCTTAATAGGGAGTTTTCGACATTTCGGGTTCTAAATGCCTGAGTCTAGCCAGCTTTGGTCAAGGTTTCACCGAAATCCTCCATAGGGTAACAGAAGGAAAGGCTTCTTTTCTTCTTTTCCAAGTCCCCCATCTTCAGCCTCCCTGTGTTTATGACAGTAAGTGTAAGTGTGAAGGGAGAAAAGACATAGAGAGCACTAAGTGACAAAATGATTCCAAATCTGTGAGCTAGTAATGACCAGTTATTAAGCCATTTTCCACCTTGGAGTGTTTCAAGAAATAGAAGTTTCTTCGTTGTCACGGATGTTGGGAGTCCTGGTGGCTAGATGCTCTCATTTGAGTCTTGTGAGGAAACTATTTATTTCCTGTTTTGTAGATGAAGAAATGACTTGACCAAGGTCTCTGGGCTGTTGGAAGGCAGTTCTGGTCTGGAGCTCAGATTTCACTTCCCCGCCAACTACCCTTCCAAACCCTGCTGCTCTGAGAAACTTTGTAGATTTGAACTTTCACCATCTCACATCAGCACACAAAACTGAGTCATCAGTATGATTTCACATGTGAAATTTTGTCTCTCTCTGCATCTTTCACCTAGAGTTTCATCTTGTCTTTCTGCATTTGTAGAAATGGCACACCACATCTGACTGCCTCAAAATAAATAGTTTTTCACTTATCCCAGAATAAGTGATATTCATCGTTCTGAGCGGGGACATCATGGTTTTCATTTTCAAAGTACTTTGCAAGCATCAGCACATTAAGCCTCCTCCTGAGTCTTCAGTGGGGCCGTGGCTTTCTAAGCATCTCTTGTTTCCTAGTACAGTCCTCCACTTCTTTAAACAAGTAAGCACATTAAAATAAGAAGCTGCAGGCCATGAACTTGTCCTTTATCAATAATGTAACAGATACAGTGACCTTGACAAGGCAGTATGCCCAGTGACTTATCTAAAGGACCAAGAACACACTAGAACCATCTCCTGTCCTTTAATGTGGAACAAGCAAATATTTACCCATGGCTTACTAGTAGGGTGTCATCTCAGGTAATTTTGACATTGTATTAAACATAAAATCTTGAAGTAAAGAAACAGGGAAATGCATTTTTCAATGATTCTTTACAATAAGCATTCACTGAGAGAATAAAATATTTTTGGACTGTCTTCAATCATAGATACATATCTTCTGCACTCCCTATAAGTTTACTTATTATTTACTTGACATGTATCTTATTCTTGCTCTTAATTCCGTATATGAAACATTTTTATTTAAGTTTTTGCCCTTTTGGAATTTCACTTATATTTACATAATTTCTGCCCCTTCCTCTTCTTCTTCTGTTTCTCTTTCCTAGCAAAATGTTTATTTTTGATACAATAGTGAAAATATATTTTAGAGAAAGGAGCATCTGGGGGTTGTAAAATGTATATGGTTGCCTTTGGTTTCATGATAGAACATTACAGCAGGGACAGTGCTGAAGGGCCTCTGGAAGCTTGAGTCTTTTCTTGTTGTGAATGGAAACATAGGAAGGACCAGTTTTTATAGGAGTAAGATGAGGTAAGAACTGAAATAAGTCTGTCTGTTCAGATGAGGGAGACTAGTAAAAAGATAGTCAATTCTAGAGTAGACAAACACCACCAGCATTTGTGAGATGATCTGCTAATCTTCCTGATGGAAGCTCCCATGGTCACTGACACTGTCTCCTTGATTCACAGGTCCAGACAACATGAAGGCTACGCTTTTCTTCCTGTACATCTTGGGGACTGCAGCTGCAATCCCGGTAAATGCCCATCCCTACTGTGTTATGTCTCTCCTTCTTGACTCCTCATTTGGAAGAAAATGTTCTTGACTTGTGGTGCTGAAGCACGAAGATCCATATCAAGTTCCTCTTGAGCCTAAAAAGACCCAGTCCCAAACAAAGACACTCCCCCCGCAAAAAAAAAAAAAAAAAAAAAAAAAAAAAAGTCCTTCTAGGGTGGCTTTGGATTCTTTTTTATTCCAATTACATTCCTTATTGTCCAAGTCATAAATGCAAAGATAAAAAGAGAAGACCAAGATAATATTGTTTAAGGACACTCTTACAAACAGTAAAGTAAAATGAATATATAGCAAAAAGAAAATATTGGCTATCATCTTATTAGACAGACTGAACCCAAACAAATGGCCAGGAAGCAATAAATCAGCTTGCAGATCTGTGAAAAGATAAAAAATTTAACATGTATTGCACAACCACCCTCATCCATTATTTTCTTCAAGATCAACTGCATGCTATCTGATTTCTCATATTGAGACTCTTTCCTACAATAATGAAAACAGGGCTCAGTGTAGTAGGACCAAAGACACTATGGGAATCAATGGCTGCAACCTCATCACTAGGCTATCTGAGAAAGTATGCTCCAAGTAGGCATGACTAGGGCATCCTCTATTTCATGGTCAGGCACACTCACCCACCACCATCTACAAGTAATAAAACCACTACATGCAAGTCATATTCCTGTAGGCCAAGTCAGCAGCCTGAGCACTACAGGAATATTTCCACAGCCTTGTGATCATTTCTGATGTTCCACAGATGACCTCTGTCATCTTTCATTAAACCACGGGTGCCAACTGTTTTTCTTCACCCAGTGGAAGAACCAACCTTCTTTAAATAAATAGTGTTGCCCCCTCTTCTCTACTTTGATTCTATCCTTTTTTTTTTTTTTTTTTTTTTTTTTTTTAGATGAATGTGAGAGAGCTCCAGACAGCTGTATTGGCAAAAAACAAAGCCCATGCCACCATGATCAAGCAGTTCATAGAATTCATGACAAACACTAAAAATCATGCTGTTAGTATTAACTCATGTGGAGTAGTCCAGTTGACGTTACACATTGTGCTCTGAAATTAAAGAAATAGAACAAATTAGCAGAGGACAGAGTTTCCACAAAAATCTTTGCTTTTCCTTGAAAATTTGTTTTCCCTTTGGAATAGTCATGGTTTCAGCTTTGTAAACAGACATCCAGAATCTTTGAACCAAATGTTTGATGACACTCCCACATATAGACACAAGCCAGATGCTCCCTTTCTGGGGTGATTTATTATAAGCAGTCCCAGCCTGGTGCTGAAAAGCTAAATGTCTTTTCAAAAGACTGGCCAGTGTAAAATCCTGCAGCATTTTCCAATCCTGGTTGAGTTCTTCAACAACTAACAGTTGCTGTGTGGCCGAGAGATTCCAAGCAGACTCTCAAGAGGGCATGAGAAATAAACATAGATATGGGCATGATGATGACATAGATTTTAATTACCAGATACCTCTAAATGAAAATGAGCTGCCACACTAGTGTGCACTCCTTGTAGGTAGAAGGAACAAGAAGGTGCAGGAGAGCAGGCACACAGCAACAAGCCCAACCTCCCCCTCCATCGCCTCTCAATGATGCCCTGCAGAAGAAGGGACTTACCAAAGCAGGCTCCCTCTCTCCTTTTCATCTTCCCTTCAGCTTAATTGCACTCATTGTTGGAGGGTGTTAATACTCTTAGTTGAGAAGGGGCTGAGATGAAGGTGTCAGACAGAACATAACAGATCCTGTAGCCATTGGACCTGTTGGTGGGTGAGAAGACACTGTTCAAGTAGAGTCTGGGCACTATACTAGGACCACCGCTACCCATGGGGCCCCCATCTATGATAAAGGCACTGGTAGTTTTCATGCGTTATCTTCATGAACCATCACTGTCAGAAGGAGTAGTTTTAACTTGGGAACTCATTGAAATTTACAAAATAGCTTATGTCCATCACTAGGTCTCTGTGTTTCTGCTCACTTTGCCAGAGGAAGGGTAGAAGACAGTGACTTGTCAAGCTCCAGTAGAAATCAAAGAACAACCAAGGCTTGAGGGAGTTTCCCTCTAAGTCTAGTGACTCAACTTCCCTTTTGTGCATCACTGCTCAGCTCTTCATTGACATCTCTAAGCTTGTATGAAGCCATTGCTCTTGCTGAAATCAGGATCCTCAGGGGCCACTCCCTACCAGGCTCCATCCCCTACCTCACATTGGTTCTACATTAAATCTATTATTTAGTCAAAGATGTCCTGATGTCTGTTGAAGCCAATGGGACAAAGAAAATAAATAAGCAAAACTCTTACAATCTATTCTGCTAATTACCAATGAGAACTTAAAAGCAGCCAACACACCATACATTGCTATATCCTGGGGTTAATTTTGTTTTCTCCAACTTTGTGTTAAATAACACTTTTCAAGATCATAAAATATGAATGTGTCTGTCAAGGTTTGAAAACTATAAAAGTCAAAGGTAGTCATTATTGAGATGTTTTCTGTTTTATTTTCAGCCAGTCTTTGTATATAACCTTTCATAAGTTTCAGGCATTTGCTTGTAACCTAGAAAATACTAGAGGCCATTGTTCATTAACGTTAGCATTAAAGATACCAGTAGTAAAGATAATGACAAAAATAGCTCGTATTTTTTTAAGCTGGCATCTGTATATTTGTAACACAAAGTCCTCATTTTTTTCAGACAAATGCAAGGTTTCTCTCTGATCATTCCAGCCCAACTCCTATAACATTGGTAACACCAGACAATGCTCAAGCCCCCAGTGCTGGGGTTGAAGCTGCAGCAGACATAGAAAACCATGCCAATGATAAGGTAAAAGTAACTGTCATATTAGTGTCACCTTCTTATTTTTCCAGAGAATCCAGAATCAAAGCATGCTTAGTTTAATATATCCATTTCTCAGTTAATTTTGTAAGTACAACAATCACATGAACTATTCTCCAAATACTAGAAGGTTATGGTGACTAATGAGTATACTCCCTGTGCTGAAGTGCTATATAAAACATTTCATTTTAGAAAATTTAAATTTAGAATGGGAACAACAACACAAATATATTTATTTACATGCTGATGTGTGTAGAAAAAAGAAGGGAGAATGTTCAATGTTAGCTTTGTAGTGGTAAATATGAATACCATGTCATTTGCTTCAAGAATAAACTTTTGTTCTGTTTAGGCTGAAAACCCCACAGCATCAAAATCAGAAGAGGAAACCTATGCACAGTCAACAGAACAGGACAAAACCTACAGCCATGAGGAGGACCTGAAGGATGAGGAGGACAGCGATGGTGATTTGAGTGTGAATTTGGAATATTCACCGACGGGAGGAACGATGGATATACAAGAAGGTACAAGTGAGCCGCCACAGAGAAAGCTCCTAGAAAACACCGATCTCCCTGCTATTGCCTCTACTTCCTTTGTGGATTCTAACCAACGTGCAAACATCACAAAGGTGGAGGGAAGCCAAGAGCAACCTGTAGGTGACGACTTGACCCAGCAACTGAACAAGAGCAGTAAGCGTAACCTAGACTTAATGAATGAAGAAAGCCAGGAACAAGTTCCAGGTGCTCCCCGAGAAGAAGAGGAAGAAGAAGACCCAGAAGATGCCGATGCTCCCAGTGATAACCGAGAAAGAGAAAAAGAACCTCCTGAGGAGCAGCCTGTCAGCAAGCAGGAGGAGAACAGTGACCAATCTGCTGATACCTTAGAAGAGTCCAGTCAACCAACTCAAATAAGCAAAATGCAGAAGAATGGATTTGAGCAAGGAAACCAAGGGCAAGAGGGTAATGCAGAAGGGGAGGACGACAAGACAGCAAGCAGCAAGAAGCACATTCAGCATACAGAGTGGCAGGGCCAAGAAGGAAAAGCTGTCCTTGAAGGTACTGGTAGCCAAAAGGACATGGATGAAAAGACAGTTTCCATAGAACCTACTGATGATGGCACCATGGTGACTAGGAATCATGGAGCCAGTGATAATGGGGACAATGATGACGCTAAGCGTGGTGCAAGTGACGACTATTTCATCCCAAGCCAGGAGTTCCTAGAAGCTGGAAAAACGCATTCCCATTCCTATTACCTCAAACACACTGAGGAAGCCGCAGATGGGAATGAGAATGTAGACAAAAGCGAGGCTGGAGACAACCAGGGGGTGAGATTATTTACGATGATGCTTGTCCAATCAGTTAGCCAAGGAATAGTCGCAGTTGCTCTGTATGCTCTCACTCTGCTGTGTGTGCTTCTAGCAGTACAATCCTAAAATACAAGGCAAGCTGAGCATCCCCCCTTTGAAGTGACAGGCCAAAAGTATGGCAACTTTGTTTAAGCTGGAAGATGTGCATATACATAATGAAAATAGAATCCATGTTTGAACACAAGATTCACTCATTTCACAAACACTCCATGTGTGTTTGTAGCTTAAGCATAATTCTATACAATGTTTTAACATGTCTGTATCTTAACTATGACCTGTCACATGAGTTCATGTGTTAAATCTCTACTTTTGGTGCCATGACCATGCTCAAACAGTAGTTGAATTTCGGAGAATTTCATATTACAAGTGTTCAGATTATGGGTGCTCACCTTGTACAATTATGTACTTGTCTGCCTGTCTCCTATCAGAAGCAGGCCTTCAATTTGAGTGGCAGTTATTTGAGAAGTACAAGAAACAATGAAATAGGAATGCAAATATTACACAGGGAAGGAAAAGAAGCTAAAAACTAAGTTCATTAAAATTACATTTATTTAAAAAAAAAACTCCCAAGAATTAATAAGGGAGCTAAGGACATTTACTTTGTCTGAGACTTGCTAGAGAGGTAGTAATTTCCCCAACACATCCAGTCTGTCCTTTGGATAGGCCTAGTAGTTTTCTATGGCTTAGGGGGCTTAGAAATGCAGACTGGGGTTGAAAAATCCTGACCGCTAGCTGGAAAATTCTGACAGACCTGAAGAATGTGAGATACACTAGCAGCTGCAATTCTGCTGCTGGACCACGGTGTCTGTCAGAATATACCATCAGAGCCTGCAATGTTTGTTGAATTAACCATAAAAAGTATAGTACTGCTCTAAAAAGCAAACATGTGCTCATATTAAAATACGGAAACTGCAGTAGGGAGAAAAAGGGAATTCTGTTTATCCTTTGGCTACTTAACCACCTGGGACTTTTAGACAAATTCCAGCACACTGCCCTCCCACCTATGCAGGAGGAATTGGTCCCATTTGGCCCCCCCAACCAGGAGGAACTGACCTCATTTGGGGTTGCAGGTAATCTCAAGTCCCTAGACCTGCCATTCTAAGGTAGGAAGTTTCTTACACCTCAAACTATAATAAAAAAAAAAATTAGCAACACTTCCACAGAGGTTATTGATGGACTGCCATCCTTATGACAGAATCCCCAGACAATATTATGGGGACAGTGCTTTGAACCCAACCCCAAGGGGGTGATCCTACATCACATGGAATGATCCTTTTTCTCCAAGGGTTACTTACTGTCTTCCTCTGCAGTTGCAGCATTTTCTCTATTGAGAGCTGAACATGCACAGCTCCGTGAGTGTTTGCACAGCTCTGTGAGTGTGTGCACAGCTCTGTGAGTGTGTGCACAGCTCTGTGAGTATGTGCACAGTTCAGTGAGTGAGTGTTTGCACAGCTCTGTGACTCTATGCACAGCTCTGTGACTGTGTACACAGCTCTGTGACTTTAAGCACAGCTCTGTGACTTTAAGCACAGCTCTGTGACAATATGCACAGTAATAGAGAAAGCAAATCACTGATCTTTTGGTTGCACTGAAATTCTACTTTTGTTGTTTCAAAGGCCAAGAAAATCGAGAGCTTACCAAATGTTGGACCTTCGGATGAGGACAACTTGAGGGGACACAGTGCTGGTGAGTGGAAGCCAAGCAAAGCTGCACCAGGTCCAGGGAGGGGTGGGGTCTGTTGTTTCAGCTAGCATCTCCTTCCATTCGGATCCAGAAATCCAGATTCCCAGCCTCCCCAAGGAAATACCTCATAAATTGCTGGTATTTCTTCGATGTGTGTGATAAACCATGCGACAATGACTGACAGACTGAAAGTCCTGTTGAGATTTTACAGAAAGGTATTTCCACCCTCCCCCCAACCCCAACACCACTTTCAGTTCCGGGAAGGATTGACTCTGTCACTTACTCTCAAATCCATCCTACCCCAACCACAAACACCTTTAATCTCAATAAAATCACATTCTTCTGGCTTAACTTCTGACCTCTTTGCCCACTGTTTTATGCACTTCAGATTCTGATTGTCTTAGGCAGGGCCAAGAAGAGCTCTGATGCAGTCTGCTGTAAGAGGCCATCTGAAGTCCTATGCACAAGTCCATCTGCAGATTAATGTCAGTTAAAGCATTTCCCAGTGACTTCCTGCTTTCACGTTTTCAGGGTCTGGTTTTCCTGTCTGATGGGTGAAAAAAAAACAAACAAACAAACAACAATAACAAAAAAAAAAAAACTAATTGTCTGGATGACTCCATGTTTGTTTAAATAGACAACTTCTCTGTATCTACATTCCCTTTCCACTCTGCCCTGTTAGATTCTTGCATGAACTTCCAGTGTAAAAGGGGACACACTTGCAAAGCAGATCAGCAGGGGAAACCCCACTGTGTTTGCCAAGATCCAGAGACCTGCCCCCCTGCAAAAACCCTTGACCAAGTAAGTATTCTGCTGAACAGTCCTTAAGATACCCCAAACCTCCAGAGTGGAAATAGTTTGCAACTGAATCTATTTTTTAAATGGGAGCACGAGTTATCTACTATTCGAAATGATATTAAGTGAGAACAGATACCAGAGAAATCAAACTATTTTGATTGTGCCATAAAAAATAGTAGTGGGGTTGAGGGGACAGCTCAGTGGGCAAAACCTCCTGTGCAGGTCTAAGGATGGGAGTTCAAATCCAGCACCCATATAAATGCTAGGTGGTAGAGGCAGTGTCCTTGTAACTCCAGGTGGGGATTTGCTGGAGCAAGCTGACTAATGGTATAGATGAACTCTGGGTTCAACAGAGAGACACTGCCTCAGCAATAAGGCAGGGAGAGATCAGACACCTGACATCAGCCCCAGCCCCCTCCACACACCCATACATGTAGCTACATAATGGGTGTCTACACACAGAAACACATACTGTATACACTACACCCGTAGCACATAAAATATTTTTAAATTTTAAACGATAGTGAGCAGGCAAACTTTTAGATTCATTCTACCATGGGGGCATTCATAATTACAATTCTATGGAAATCTATCTGGCACCAAATTGTCATCATGGGTTTAACTTCGTAGATTTTTTTTTCTTGGTGCCCAGTTATTTTGATAGACTCTACCTGACATCTTTGGCACAGCACGTTTACCAGACATTCTGTGAGTCCCAGGGAAGTGCTCTCCAGTGAGATTCCGTTCCTCACTTCTCCTTGTTCCCCTTGCCTAGGCCTGCGGCACTGACAACCAGACTTATGCCAGCTCCTGTCACCTGTTTGCTACCAAGTGCAGGCTTGAAGGGACCAAAAAGGGACACCAACTACAGCTGGATTATTTTGGAGCTTGCAAATGTAAGACACTGACTGCTACTGCCAAATGTCATTCCCGGGTGGACTTGTGGTGATTTTTGTGCCTCTCTATATACACAAACAGAACAGTTTATGTAGTTATGAAGTCAGTCTGAAATGAAAAGCAACTCAGGAATTCCCAGGCCTTAATCATGGGAGATTCTGATTCCATGGGACTGTGTTTTTTGTCCTACTATTTGTTTTTCAAGAAACCTAGACAATTCCAAGTTTCCCCCCTGAATTCAGAGGCACCATTGTAATATGCACTTTATACAGACATGAAGACCAAGGTTTCTGAATTACTTACTTTCCTCCCATTTCATTTAAGTCTTTGTCAAAAATTTTATTGCAGTAGATTCTCCCAGAGGTTGTCATAGACTTTTCTCAGTTGTATCTGGCCCCTCTTGTAGATAAATATTTCCACACTAGTCTAGCCCTCTCGTGTTTTTGCTTCTCTGTAGTTTCTACACACACATGAGATATTAAGTGTTATTGTTTGACCTTCTCTGTCCACTAACATGGACAAAATCATCCATGTACATTCTGGGCAGAAGCCCATGAAGGCTGGCTTGTTACTGTGTTAGCTCAGTTTGTGTTGAGGCAATAGCCATGGTGTCGAGGCCCAGGGAGAGTGATGAGCTGAGCCCTCTTGGCAGCCGGTGTCTGATGTGGGGCCATCTGGAAACAAGTGTGGGCTTCTCTAGGTGCAGAGATGTCACATGATTTGCTGCTGCAGAGGGAGCTACTCTTGGCTTTTCTCTCTGCTGCTAATCAACAACTCCAATGTCCTCCACTTCCAAATTCCTGGTCTCCAGTTTTACAGCACTGGCTCTCAGCCCTTTACTGCATGTCAGAATTATTTGGGGATCTCTTAAGACATCCTGATGCTCAGGTCCCACCATGAAATCATCAGGATTTTCTTTCCATAGAAGTTGTTGTCTGATAGGCATAGTAATGTGAATCTATCATTTTGGCACTTGGGAGGGTGAGGCAGGAGGATCACGAAAAAAAAAAATACCCAACAACTTTGACATTTGATTGGTGTGCTTTTAAGACACCCCAGGAAATTCTACTGTGCTACCAGGGGTAAGGACCACCATAAGGAAGAAGCGGGTGCTGAGCTTCCTGTGATGGGGACTTGTTATTTGAAGTATGGTCACATTATGTTTTCTGCTTACCCCAGCTATTCCTGCTTGTACGGACTTTGAAGTGACTCAGTTTCCCCTGCGGATGAGAGACTGGCTCAAAAATATCCTGATGCAGCTTTACGAACCGAATCCCAAACATGATGGTTACCTAAACGAAAAGCAGAGAAACAAAGTAAGCTCCACATTCTGCTACCTGAGTGTGTGTCTGTGTGCAGAACCTGAGGCGGGAGGTGTGGCAAGAGGACCCTTCCTTGCACAGCAGTGGAAGTCTGCCCTGCTTCTCTGCATCTGGTTAGCCTGCACGCATTCACAGTCTGTAGCAGTCACCATCCATGCCACAACTTCCATAATACAACCAACTGCCCACATTCTACTCAAGGGGCAGTAGCCTGGAAAGTATTTCTAAGTTGCCTCTACAGAAGGCTATGATCAAGCAAAGTTAACAAATGCAGCATTTATATGACCAGCTTTCCATGACTGTAACAAATACCTCAGGTAGCACAACTTAATGAAGCAAGGTCTCTTGGCTCACAGTTTTGGAAGTTCCAGTCTGTGACTGATGTTAGCTGTGTTGCTTTGGGCCTGTGTTGAGGTAGTACATGTGGCAGGGAATATTCAGGTCATAGCGGACCAAGAAACAATGAAAAAACAAAGAGGTGCTGGGCTCCCCACATGCCCTACAAGGGCATGCCCCCATATGACCAGGAAACTTCCAACTAGGTCCTACTTCTGAACAGATCCACCATTTCCTGTTAGCACCATGGCCCAGGGGCTAAGCCTGTAATTCATGGGCCTCTGGGCAACATTGTATCCATGCCCAACATTTTTAGTCCTCATAGGCGGGGGCATAGATCCTGCTATAAGGGAAATTAATTGCTCTTTATGCAAGCAAAATGTTAAGATTTAAAAGTGCAGAACATTGCTGGGTGGTGGTGGTGCATGCATTTAATCCCAGCACTTGGGAGGCAGAGGCAGGTGGATCTCTGTAAGTTTGAGGCCAGCCTGATCTATAGAATGAGTTCCAGGACAGCCAGGGCTACCTAGAGAAACCCTGTCTCAAAAAAGAAAAGTGCAGAACATTGATTCCAGAAGATTCAAAAGAAGATTCTTCCATCGGGTAGTTAGTGAATATATTCTAAGTACTAGAACTGACCTTCACTCTAGAGATACAGCAACAGACACATAAAACGTCCACCTTAAAAAGTTTACATTCAAGGCAAGGAGACAGATTACTAAAGTAAGTTCTTGTGTGTGGAATGTCCAGCAATAAACTGAAATTTTATTTTGCCAAGGTGTTTAAAAAAAAAAGAAGAAAGAAAGAAAGAAAGAAAGAAAAGAAAAAGAAAGAGGGAAGAAGGTGGGAAGAGAGGGGAGGAGGGAGGGAGAAAGGGAGGAAGAGAGGGGAGGAGGGAGGGAACAAAGGAAGGAGAAGGAAAGGGAGGGAAAGAAAGAGAGACTAGAGGAAGAGGTGGGGGAAGGGAAGGGAGGGAAAGGAGAAGGAAAGGGAGCTGTATTGATTAGAATCCATTTCCTCCGGCTCAGACTTCACATGACATCTGTCATGCTGTTACCCTTCAAAGAGTTGACAAGACAATTTTAAGATACTTTCCTGGAACTCTAACAGCTTTCTGCATTCTGAATCTCAGGTCAAGAAAATTTACCTGGATGAAAAAAGGCTCTTGGCGGGAGACCACCCCATTGAACTTCTCCTGAGGGACTTTAAGAAAAACTACCACATGTATGTGTACCCTGTCCATTGGCAGTTTAATGAACTGGACCAGCACCCTGCAGACAGGTAAAGACCCTTTGCCTCCCGCCCAGGACACTTCCTGGTAATGATATCCACACGAAATAGAACTCCAGACTCCGATGGGAATGTTTCCAGCTTCACTTTCAGACACTAAGTACAAACCATTGTGGTTAGGAATCTAATCAAAAATCACTTAGAAAATAATTGAAGATGGCAACAGCACAACGTTTTTATTACCACACTGTTTACTAATTAAATCTCTGTTTCCCACAGAGGTGTTCTCTATTTTCATTCTTGAACTAACTCCACAAGGTAATCTAATTGGCCCAACTTGGGTCAAACACCACCTCTAGGACCATTGCAGGCTGGCCAGTGAGCGAGAGCCAGCTCACACAAGCCCGACTTCCAGATGCTCATATAGAGACTGGGATAGGAGGATGTACAGTCCCCAGCAACGGGGCACCACAACCCATTCTTGCCTGCAGCTTTTCACTGTGTATGGTTCACTTGGAGTACATAGTGACCTTGAGGAAGGAAATGTCCTTGGTGATCGAGACTTAGGTCTTTCATGCAGAAGCCACAAATTTAACAGGCTGTCATTGTCCTTTTGCAGGATCTTGACTCATTCCGAACTTGCTCCTCTGCGAGCTTCCCTGGTACCCATGGAACACTGCATAACCCGCTTCTTTGAGGAGTGTGACCCCAACAAGGATAAACATATCACCTTGAAGGAATGGGGCCACTGCTTTGGAATTAAAGAAGGTAAGTCCATTACCAAAGAATAATGTCGACTTTTTCAGATAAATGCTAAGTTCTGTGGCCTAATATCAAGATTCTGCTATAGGAGTGTGTGTGTGTGTGTGTGTGTGTGTGTGTGTGTGTGTGTGTGTGTGTGTGTGTGTTTGTATGTATGCAGGCCTTCAATCCCAGAACTTAGGAGGCACAGACTGGTAGATCTATGTGTGTTCCAGGCCAGCCAGGGCTTTGAAGAAAAACCTTGTCTCAAAACAGCAACAATAATAATAATGTAGGAAAAGCCTGAGTAACAACAATGAGGTTGTCTTCTGGCCTCCATTCACATATGCATGTGTACCCAGCACACACATATACCCATGCACACAAACATACACACACACACTCTATAGAGATACTCTATAGAGAACATTTAAAAACACATACAGTCAAGCACTAAGAACAGAAAGGTTGGCAAAGGTCAGACTTCCCCTCACGGGTTATATGTATGACTTCACCTTAAAATTCTTCGCCATGCCAGTGGTACAATGACTTGGAATTGACAAGACTCGGCTGAGAGTGTTGGGACTGAGCCCTTTGATGTCCAGTGGAAGAACAACCCTGCTGCTCCCAACGATGCTCTGTGAATAACACCTGTTTCAGGGAGCCCCTCCCCTTCTGCATTAGTTGCTCTACTACACAACAAACCATCCCCAGATTAGCAGGTGAACCGTTCTGCTTGTCAGGGTCAGGAGAATGGGAGTCACTTTCCTGGACAGTTCTGCCTTAGGGTCATGTGACCGATCTGTTAGCCAGTGCAGAGGTTTCCTGCAGGATCTGCTTCTAAGATCTGAGATCTGGTTATTTGAAAGTAGCCACCTACCATTAGTAGCCCGAGGCTGAAGTCCACCTCATTCTGCTATGTTCTGTTGGTCGCACAGGACAACCCTGCTCTCATGTGGGGTACACGGGCCAAGGGGGAATCATTGGAAGCCAGTTAGGAAACTGGACTTCATAGCGCTCAAAAGAAATGAACAAGCTGTTAGACCAAGACTGACACGAAAGGATCAATTCCCTTTCTAACCCTATTCTCTGAGCAGAGTATTTATGCAAGTGCAGTTGTTCCCCCAGGTGGTTAAACCGGTCTTTTCAACTCCCTGCTGAAGACAGAGCAGGCGCTGGCTCAGCTGAGCCCTCTATTATCAACACGAGGAGCACAGCTGGGCCAGGACATTTTCATTGACATCTCCTTACAGGGATTTTAAACACTGATAAAAAAGGCAAATTTGAATAAAGGCCATTTAGTTAAGGAAAAGGAGGTTTTCTTCTCTGTTTCCTTTGCAAAACGTCTGGCAGCTCTTGCACAGGCAGGCTGCCCGGGCTCCACACTGGGAGGAGCAAGAAATGTCGGAGCCCAGTGACTCGCAAATGGTCTTGTTTGTCGCTGTGGTCTGGCTGGCGTAACGCTATTTTGAAGCTGGGAGAGAATTATCACACCCTAAGCCAATAAGGCAGTCATTAAATGTTCAGTTAGAGTAAGTAAACAAGTTATCACTTTGGGAACCCGCAGGGCAAGACAAGGAATTACATCTCTTTATAAATGTACTTTTTCCCTGTGAATGTTAATAAGAGCACAGGAGAAGATGAACTTTACCAGCATTTTCCTGAATTTCAACCACCTGTGACCTAAACTAGCTATGCTCAAACGGCATAGGTAAGGGGCTATGCTGACTGCAAGGAAGGCCAAAGGCAGAAGATGTTCACGGGTCCTCTGATGTAGAAACAGGGATGTCCAGGCAGTCCCGGCAAGGCTACCCTAGTCCAAAGTGGTCCAGCAGAGGAGGTAGTGTTGTCTGCCATCCAAGCATCAACAGGTGTGTTTCTGCAGATGCCTCAGGTCAAAGTTGAGCTGTGCTTGGAAGGCTGCCCATTCTATGGCACTTCAGCCAGCATTTATACCTGGCACTTCTTGGCCTGGTCCTCCCATTGATGGCCCGCTGTTTCACCTTTGGTGGTTCTCAACTGTACAAAGAATTCCAGAAGAACTGCCTAGGTATCCGCATGATAGCTGCCCACCCCCAGGGATTCTGATCCCAGGAGCCAGAGGTGAAGGCTAAAGATGTTTTCAAAAGTTCCAGCTATACTGACAATTGCTACCATGCTGCCTTTTAGAAGTTTGCACATTCACAGCTCTGGCCCTTCCTTGTTTTTGTGACTTTCCAGGTGACTTTCTAAGAGTGTATCTGTTTGTTTTTTCATTCTTTTGTTTACCTATTCATGCTTTCTTTCTTTTACTTTTACAGAAGACATAGATGAAAACCTCCTATTCTGAATTGAGATGTGAAAGAATGGAAACTTCCCAGCAGCCACATCTGCTTTAAAAGCATCTGAGTACATGCAGCCATGACACTATAGATTCATAGTTAGCAAAATGTTTGTTTGCATGTGAGAGAAGACGGCGACACTAACTGCTTGATAGTGATAAGCATGTGTCAGGCTTTAACATTACCTTAGGAAATAAAACTTTAAAATTAAGTAGTGTCAGTGTCTACAAAAGACTGTATTGTCTGGGAACAGTTCAACTCATAGCACCCCGTCACTCTGCATCTACTTCTATCATTGGTAATTATAAAACATGGAAAATGTGTTCGTATTGTCCATAAAACCTCATGCATGTTAAGGAAGTGAAATATTGCTCTTTTGTGGCTAACATGCCTCATTTTCAGTATCTTAATGTCTAACGAAGAGCCATTAAAGACTGAAATGCCTGCTCAAGTTTATTTCCAATTGTTTAAATAATTAAATGTAAAATATCAACCCAGGGCTTAATGTTAGAGATCAAAATGGAATTATGCTTGCTTACTGCTTGTAATAAAAAGTCCATTTAAAGAAAAGATTGAGACATTTTCTATAACAAATTGTTACAAAGTAATCATGAATGTAATGGGTGGGGATTGGATTTGATAGCTTTTTATCCACAGTTTATAAACTGTGGATAAACTGCATTGTGTTAGCCCATCAGTTCTGACTTCTGTGGGGTAGCACGTGTGCACAGGAGAGGGAGAGGTCTGAAAGAGCTCTATGTGTCTCATTTCTCAAAACAAAGTGAAAGGGGTGATGATGAGCCGCGGGGAGTCTGCAGTGATGGCCATTGCTGACAGAGATCAGCACTCCGCCTGTGGCCTGATTGTGTCTTAGAAAATCTGTTTCTAGTTGGGCTTTTCTGCAAAGCTAAAACTGAGGCATAACAATATAAATGACACCACATAGTTTTGCAATGTCTACAGTGAGGCACCAAAAGTTTCTGGCATCCATTTTATTCTACTTTATAGTATTTGAAAGAAATGGGAGGTTATGTAGTTTTCTATTGAAATAGAAGCTATTGATATAATTCTATTCGATTGTTTTTAACCTTTTATGAGATCAAAAACTCCCTTTTTCTTGAACTAAAAACCACATTAAACCATATCCTTTCTAGATAATTAGGTTCAATTTGACCAACCAAAATCTTATTTTATCAAATAGGAAATTAATTTTAGAAATATTCTAAACTTCAGAATATGTTTATGATTACCAAAACTGTCTTAATTAGAAAACAATTTTTAGAAACCATGTTTAATAATTATACTAGTAGGCCTAAATTTTATTTTACTCTCAGGAAACTTTGTAAAAATTCTTTGAAATAAGGAAAACTTATTTTAATATTAAGGATGCATCTAAACATTTATAAAATATTTATTTGAAAGTCATTTTCATTTTGAAATGAAAATATTAAGACTGGAGATGTTCAGATCTTACCTCAGGTCTAAGAGCCCAGGAGACAGAAGTGCTTTCATGTTCTTTGTGGTTAGTTTTTAATGACCAGTTGGTTGTGCAAAAGAATCGCTCTGATCCCAGCCTTCATCCCAAGGTGATGAAACTGTTTCTCAGAAGCTGCCTTTAAGCCCATCTTAGTAATTGTGATCCTCTAGAAACAGGAGTCCCTGGTCTGAAGCCAATTGCTCAGTTTAGCCATGAATTTGTGAGTCATATTGCCCAAGACCATATAGACATTAGTAACACAGCTTAAATACTAGCCAGGTGTACAGATGTCAGCCCACACTGCTTCCTGAATCTGCTGCTCCCAGGCCCATTGGAAGCCCAGGTAATTAAAGCAATATAATTTATGCTACTCAAAGTATGTGGGATATTCTTGGGTTGGTAGTTCAATAATTTTACTATGTTCACTTATCAAAAGGAGAAAGAATGTTTAGAATTTGAATCCAGAAAATATACAGAGGAAAAATATGAAAAAAGAAAGGATGAAAAGAAGTCTGTGTTCAAGCAAAGTGATACAAACTTAACCAGAGTCAAGTTGAAGTGTATTGCAGTAGCTGGCAGATGATAAATGGATAGATGGAACTGCCTCAAATGTTGGAGCCAAGTCTTCATGAAAATATGGTGACATTGTTCTTTCACAGCCAGACTCCGTATACCGTGACACAGTTTAAAATGCAGAGGGTTAGCTAGTTCTACATGGATGTGATTTTTCAAACGTGAAGTTTTACTTTAGAACCAACAGGGCAGAGCAGACCTTGTTGAGTTGCTACTGAATTTATTTATCAACCCATGTTCCCGTGCACATTTCTTCTTGTATAATTTCCTTTCTAGGGAACTGAAATTGTCAACAACAACATCCGGGTTATATAGAGCAATCAGTCTTGTGCAGGCACAAGCTTTATCTGTACATTCTGTAATAAGTGTTCTTTCCTTTTGGCCAGCGATGTTCCCTTCCCCACTGAAACATTAAAGCAGAAGACCTGTGTATGGAGATCACAATCTCAAATCACTTTAAGTGCAGAACAGCTGGGTGTAGGCAGAATGCAAGGCTTAAGGAAGAGTGGGGGCTGGTGAGCACTGTAACAAGCTGGGGAATGACTGGTCGAAAGGCATTTAAAGCTTTTTAAAGGTTTTCCATTTAAAAAAAAAAGTGAATTTAGAGGCAAGATATAGCCTGACCACTGTCTACTTCAACTGTCTGTTCACCATGGAAACAGGACCTGGAAATCACCTCATCCTTCATTCCCAGACTCTTCAGAATGAAGGTTTTCCTCCTGGCCACCCTGCTGAGCACTGCCTCTGCTCTGCCCATCCCAGTGAGTACCTCCTCAGCTCTCAGTCTCCACTGTGAGTCCTCATATTTCTGGGCTAGAAAGCATCTCACATCTACAGGAGAGCAAAGTGGAGTCCAAGAGTGCAATGGGATCAGGAATATTCTGGGTCTAAGGCTCTGTGTGTTACAAAGCTGTTTCTGGAAGCCTTAGCTAGATGGTGACCTTGGGCAAGCAACTAACTCATGCTTTCCCTGTCAAATGAGTTAGGACAACTCCAGAGTGTAAAAACGATTTTAAAATGTTGCTAAAACACTTACAGTCCCACTTGCAACAGAAAGCTCTTGGCAGTCTTAGCAATAAAACCAAGTACTCTATGGGGACCCAGGTGGAAATTTAGCCACTGACTTGAGCTCTGTTCCTAATACTGCCCTACATCACCTAGGGTTTTCTTAAAAGGCTCCTCTCCAAGATGTTATGACACCAAGGACGGTTTAAGACTACCCACGCTAGTGTTAAGCTAATATTGAAAACTTATGTGTGAAATAGGCAGTTCAGGAGTGTCACTAAATATTAGGCATGGACATCTTTACTGTACCATTTTGGAAAACAAGATTTGGGTAACAACCTAGGCCTATAGGAAGCATACCTGGATTACAAACCAGTCTCTTGTATTAGGTCACAGTCTATTCTTGCAACATTAACAAAAACTGTTGTTGTAATTCGTTCTTAGTAGTGCTGGGACTCAAACCCAGGGTGTCACACATGCAAGACAAATGCTCTCCCATCCAGTTACATCCCCATGCTGGACAAGCATTCCTATCTAAAGTTCCAAAGGAGATGCAAAGTTTGTCTCTGTGGGAACACTATGCTGATGAGACTATTGCAGCATACATATTTCGCAAATTTTAGTATGGGCTTTCTTCATCTGTTAGCATCTCTGAAATGAGTATGTGTTTCAGCCATGGTGTGATAATGCATCGTGCCCATTTGACAGGAACAGCTGCCATGTAGTTGATCCGTGAAATAATGATGTGTTTTATGACACCATCTTAGAATGCATAAAACAAAGTGAGAGCATACCAGCAGCAGCTTAACCTTTTGTTGTACACCAACTACAGCCATGCTTCCCACATCTGTACTAAGTGAGACCTGTAGGGACAATTTATATTTACCATAGACAGTGCCCAGCACCAGTGACATATGAAACCCTACACACATGTGGCAACAAGGGGGCTTTCTAAGGTTGTGGCGGAAATTACAAAATTTAAGTTGGCACTCCTAATCTCTTCCTTTGAACACCTACTTACTGCAAACAAATCTAGAGCATACTAATGCTAAATACACCAGAACAAGGTATGCAGTGTATCATCTTAAGAAAGAAAATGAGAAATGCTTTGGATATAACTTTAAAGCCAAAAAGTTCTTGGCATTCTGAATCACTTGACAAAAATCAGCATTTCCCTGTTAAATATGTAATTTACTTCAGAGGTGAAGACACGTGACAGACAGGCATAAAGCTCTTGAGCTTCTTAGCTGTCCTCACATAAAATGACATGTCTCCATGCATAAGGTACAGTGGCCAGCTGCCTCACCGTGTTGCTCTTCTTGTTTTCAAGCTTGGACAGTCTGGAGGGAGCTCCAGTGAACAGGTACGCCTGCACTTTCCAATGGATGTTCATATTTAAAAGCTGTTGTTTGCACTCCAAGCAATCCACACTGTGTTTCCTTTCACAGAGATTCAACTTTTACCCACCACAAATCCTGCCATTCTTTCCTCAGTTTCCCTTCCAGCAACCTCCTGTGGTAAGTGGGGTGTGGGAAGTCTCAAGTGTGTTGGGTGATGAATGGCTATCAAACCTTTCCACATTTTGACCCAGAAATAGGATATGTTAAAAAGAAAGCTGTTGGTTGTTCACAGTCCTCTCCAAGCACAGCTTGTGGTGAGGGTGGTGATGGACTGGCAAACTTGCCTCTGGCACTGTGACCTCTTCAGGTGTCCCACCACACCCAGTCCATGGGTGCTTGTGCTGATGACATTGACTATGAAGAGCCTTAGCTACATGAAGTGAGCAGTAGCCTCTATGACAGCATTCTTTTGCTGTCACTAAATCACTTTGTTGCTTTCTTTTCTTTATTAAAAAAAAAAAACAAAAACAAAAACAAAAAAACAAAAAAGCTTCCTGGGGTTTCTATAACTTTTTCTCAAAAATCAAAGCAAAAGATTACTTTGCCCTTCTTGCTGACACACTTGGTTGAATTTTTATAACTGTCACTTTGAGGACTGGAGAAATACTAAGTGCATGATAGGGCCCTTTTGGTACATGTTCCCAGAGGCAAAGGCAACTCGGGCTAGGCTGAGTCAAGCCTGTCAAGCCTGTGGAAGAACCCAAGTCCTGAGCAACAAAAGAAATCCTTAGTATGCAAAGTAGAAGCTCTTCCCACCACCAGGGGGCATCCCGCATCCAAAAACAGGCAGAGTGGCGCCTGCGCTAGGGAAGTTGGTGGGTTGGCAAGAACCATCAACAGAACCTTGAACATTACATTTAACTAATTAACCAAAATAGCTGTAACACCTAAAAGGAAAACAGTGTATCAAACCCAGAACTCTGTAGAGCAGTAGCCTTATTTATTGCCACGCAGTCCCAAAGGCCTATAGCCACTCAGCACACACCAAAAGGCTAAAAGGGTGAGTGAATAGAGAACGGAAAACAGAAAAGGAAAACAGAAAAGGCTCCATTCACTCACAACTATCTTTTCTCTTTTCGTAGATTCCAATTCCTTTTCCCTTCCCTTTTGATCCAAATCAGGTAAATAGATTTAAAACTTCCTTTAAGAAAATATGTGACTAAAAATTAAAACTAGTTTTGTTTGATTTAAAGAATGTAATGCAGAATTCTACATACTTCTGAACGCTCAAGTGCCTACTCTGTGACCCTGTGGAGGGAGCATGGGCCCAGCAACACTAACAGAGGAGCAGATGTGCCTGCTCTTAAGCCTCTGGAGGGGAATGGAGTGGCAGGGTTCGAACAGCAACCCACCCGTAGGCCGCCACACATTTACAGGGATATCACTTTACTGAAATATCATTTGTCCCAGACACCCTGTTTAAGGACAGGGTACAAAAGGGGTGTTTACCTTGTGTTCGTAACAAGGTTTTCCTGAAGTAGTGATAATTATTTGCAAGATGATAGATTCAGCTAGGAACCAAAACACAAAACTGTGTTTATTATGCCATTAATTTGACTTTTAAATATTATTGAAATTGTGAGAAAGAGCCATCGGCTCTTTTTCATGACAAGCTTCTCCTAAATATAATGGAGTGAGCTTCTGTGAGTGACCTTCACAAGACATCCCTACTGTGCTGAGCCCAAGGCAAACTGTGGTGTGCCCATTTCCATGGATGGTTTGAAGGCGGGGAAAAAGGGGTGTAAACTCTCAGTGGTGTGAATTTAATGCCAGAATTTTAGAAACACTAAGGACATTTACCAGGCTAACTTAAAGTTGTAACTCAAAGTTAAAATGCCAAATTGTAACTCTTCATTTTGTCTGTAGGTTCTGACGCCTAATCAACTTATAGCGGTAAATATATTTTTTTCTCTGTCAATCTATAGGGACTCCAAGAAAACAACACCTAACACCATTAAGGGGGGAGGGGAGGGAGAGAGAGAGCCAGTTCATTCAGAAAACCACTGCACTCACTGAGTTCATACCAATAAGAGTATGGACACCTGTTAAACCCAAAACCAACCATGCATGTGACAAGAATTCTTTCTATTGACTCAATTCATTGAGCTATAAAGTGACAGTGACAAGAAAATGTTTTCTACTGCTGATGCAAGTAAGTGATCAGTGAGAGTTCAGAATAGAGGAACAGAATATGGAGTTTCGGGGAGTAAGACAGATCCCAATACTACTGGGATGCCTTGAACACATAACATGTAAAACATCTAAACCTGAGTTTAGAGGCAGGGTTTCTCTACATAGTCCTTGGTGACCTGGAACTCACTATTGTAGACCAGGCTGGCCTCAAATTCATAGTAATCTGCCTGCCTCCACCTCCACAGTGCTGGGACTAAAGGTGTGCTCCATCATGTCTAGCCCAAAAGATGTTTTTTAACCAACTGCACATAATTCAGCTGTTTAACGAACTGTTTATTGGTTGGTAAGTTCCTTGGAGTGTTAGTTTATGAAAATATCAGAGTAATACTTTGAATATAATTACAAAAGATAAAACTAAAAAGTTCCATTTCTCTGTCTAAAACACACAAACATTTCTGAAATAGGAATATATTTCACAGTGAATAAAAATACATGTTATTCTTTTAAGAGCTATTAATAAAACAAAACATTTTCATAGTTAATAGTGTCTTAGAAACAGACATTTAGTATTCTTTTAAAGGTCAGGAAACTGAGCCTCTAAAGTTTATGTGTTTGAGATAAAATTCCCCAGGATTTTAAAATACCAACTGGTGCGAGTCAATCTGAAGACTATTTAAACGGGGCATATCATGAAGCCTAAAGTCCATTTCAGTTCAGGTAACTGGTGCTCTTCCCACAATGCTCCCTGTTTAAACATAGTAATCCATTCCTGAAGGCCAAATCTATACAACTCCAAGCACACTTTCACTAAGTGTGCCTCAGGGACTGCTCCAGAGTGATTGCCAGTGACTACGACATCAGCTGAGCACCTTTCTATCCAAGCCTGGCCACAGGAGCATGCAGCATCCAGTGGTGGGCTAGGTCCTGACCTCACCTACAGAGCTGAAGCAGCTTTCTGGCTCTACAGAGTCCTCAAGCAGAGAAAACACAGACCCTGCCAAACCACTGAGGATATTCTCTCTCTCAGAGAATCTGATGCATTCAAGTTACCAGAGGCCTTCTTAAGAAACCTGAACAATTACAGAGCTGTCCTACCTAGCAGGTGACAGTGTTTATTCACACCGCACACATACACTTCCCCTCTCTCCCTCTCCCTGCCCCAGGTTTCCCTTCTCCCCTTTCTTGGCTTCCTCCAACACTCACTACCCAGAGTATTGCTTATGCATAAGAACAGCTGAGGTTGGCCAGTGTCCAGTCGGCTTCACTACTCCTACACATTCTGGAACAAGCAGTTACACGTAGAGAGTTCACCACTTAGATCAAGTCTTGAACAAGCTGCTGAGTTTTTAAGGAAGCTACAAAGCAACACAGTTCCAGTGTAAGAGCTGTGTAAGCAGATCCACAAGACAAAATATGCATTCATAGTTGTGCTGAAATAAATCATTCAACAGGACATTCACACCAATGACTGAGATGCCATGGCTTCAAGTGGACCAGAGTTCTTCAACTTTCTAACTTTCAGTAAATACATTTAGAAGGTAGAAAAAGTATTCATTTTTAAAAAACAGAAATTTCAATATCTTCATTTAAAATCTTATATAAATAAAATACAATTTTCAATGGAACATTTATATACAAAACATTTTAACTGATACATACTACAGTAAATATAAATTACAAGACAAGTCCACTGAGAGTATTATCACTTTCTTCTTTTACAGCTAATCACTTCTATTTTGAACCAACTGCAGGTAAATGTTTATTATATAAACTACAAACTCAATAATGAACTGAGGTTAGTATTTAACTTTTTTTCTTTCCTTATTTTTAGGGCTTCCTTGGGGTAAGATTTTATTTCTGATTATATTGATAAAAGTGACATCCAATGTCAGGGAAGGTAAGAGTAATTCCTCTAAACTAAAAGGGCATAAAATAGAATCAAACCAACAGATTAAGCCAATTACAACTCATGGGATTCCTGAATTCAGTTACCAGACCTTTAGATACAAGTTTCTGCATATCTAACAGTAAGTATCCTTTCTCAGAGGGGTTTCATAAAATTTAAGATTATAGAAACCAACACAACATTAGGTCATGAACTTTCAAACAATTGTACTTTACCTCAGACTTGCTTCTGTCTAATGGACAATTCATGGTAACAGAATGAGAAAGGCCTATCATAAAATAACCAAATGTAGCTATGTCCTGACCTCAAGGCAATCTTCAGTCCCACTGAGGAAAACAATTACCCTTCATTGTAATAAGTTTCACTGCCCTGAAATATTACTAGCATTTTTTTAACGACTGTGACAATTTCCCCCCATCGGACCACCACATACCATGTGGAGGAAATCAACTTCTGTGCTACAGACAAGATCATTAAGGAGTCAATTTTTCAGTATTTACGTATAACCAAAGCACGGGATCTTTTATGCCAACCCCCTGATCACACCAATATTAACACACCAACAACAAAATAACCATAAAATGGGAGAGATTGTGGAAGTGGAGGAGTAACCCTGAAGATATTTCACATACTAACTGTAAATGTATTTCAACAGAAATAACTCTCACTGCTACATCAGAAGTCACACACGGTAAGTAAAATCCCAGAACACACCCATGAACTCTATGTATTTTTTAAGAGTCTTATCACCGTGTCTGTGTTAGTAAATTAATGGCACAATGAAAGCAAGAATTCAGAAGACCAATTTAACTCCAAAGATTGTGTTTCTCAAGAGATGTATTCTAACTGTATTTAAGTGGGCTGGGGTGTGGCTCAGTGGGAACACTGCTTGCCTAGTATGTGTAAGGAAGGCCCTGTATCCCATCCACAGCACCATCATGTAATAAAATGTAAATGTACTTAGTAGAACTCCACAAACGTAATATGTATCACAGAAGCTCTGAATATATTAAAACTTATCATTTTAAACCCAAGTAGCCTTGAAAAATAGCTGGAATTTTCAAGTTCCCCTTTTATCTACTACACTTTTAACGTTTATGGTAACTATGACATTAAGTAAAATTGGGATATTTATGTCTGAATGTTTAAAAAAAAAAACCCAAGAGTGCTTACATCAAACAAATATTGACTGTGGCTATTATCCTCAGATTAAGGAATTATGAAATAGACTGTCTTTGGCCCAAAATTATGTAGTCTTAACAGCCCTAGCCAGTCAGAGGCTTTAAATCCCATGTGCTACCATGGCTCATATAAGTCCAGCTTATATACCATAATTTACACCACTACACACAGTATACTGTCTCCTGCAACAGCAACTCAGTCAGAACCTTGATAAAGAACACAGCAGACAAAGAGTACACTCTGGAACTAGGGAGACTGGGATCAAATCTCAGCTCCTGTCCTTTGGGGGAGAAGCTCTTGAGCAATCTTTCCAAATGCCAACTGCTTCATCTGCAAAATACCTGAGGGTGGAGTGAAACACAGTAAGAGTTACCTAGTATTCTTACTGATGCTACTAATGTAAAAAACTTTCCTCACACCAAAAACAGGCAAGTGTGGGGGGACCACCAGTGTCTATGAGCAGACATTCCCCACAGGAAGGCCAGAAGCTAGCGGTTTCAATGTTTTCTGTTGCAGGTGGTGCTGGGTATTGTTCGGGTTACCTGCTCTGTTATCTGCAGTTTGGAACAGTCTTACATTTTGAACACTCTGTAAAAAGTTCTGTGAAACTTCAAACACCATAGGGATATCTATTATCTACAGACCATCTGTTTTAAATAAAATTCTTACTAGAACATCTGTGTGGATTTCAGTTCAAGTGTTAGTGACTGCTCAAGTTTCCTGAGAGCCTTTGAAAGCACCTTGGTCTCGGTCTCAGTGCTGGAAAGTGGTATTCTCTCCAAGCCAGGTTCACCCAGCATCTCCTGAGCAGCCATCCTTGCTCAAATGCACATGACACACCCTCAGGCCAGACATTACTAGGCCGTTACAAATAACATGGCAAATAACAAGGCAAAGGTTCACCTTGAAATCAAACATTTCAGAGCTCCTCAGCAGACTTTGTCACACAATAAAGGCTGCAACCAGCTCAATTCTGGCCTACCACCACAAGGTGCTGACAACATATCCCCACCCCCTTTGTCTTACCTTCTAGCTAGAGCAATCCTTATTCTCAATCCCCTGAAGACAAAGCTATCATACCCCCTTTCCCAACACCCAAGTCTTCACAGGTCCCACTAGAATTCAAATTTAATGAAGCAAGCATGAGCCTCTTATTCAGGCTGACTGAACTTGCCAAAGGCCAGCCCTGGCTAGCATGTGACACCCGGGTTCAGGGGAGTGAGATGTTGGTGGGGTCCATTACTTCTTTTGGAGGGACCCCACCAATACATTCTCTCCTTCATCTGGGATTTATAACATTAGGCGAGCATTTCTAAGAAAAACTACTTTAATCCTTAATATTATCCTTCTGTCAAAACCCACAAAAGCTCCTTCCTGACCCCACCTAGTTAGTTCCCTTCTATGTCTAAGAATATCTCTAGAAATTAATAATTTACCTGGGCATAGTTTTAAATTTTTAATATTCCAAAAATGAGAAATATGAACTTTTATTCTCTGACTTTGACCTTTGACCACAAGAACAACTGAGACACAGTAAGGCTCTGCCTCTAAATAAATACATAAATGCAATAAGAGAAATTCTATTGTAAAATTGGTAACTCTGGCTGCAGAGATGGTTGAGCAGTTAAGAGCACTGGTTGCTTTTCCAGGACAGGGGTTTGATTCCCAGCACAAGCATGGAGGCTCACAGCCACCTGTAAACCCAGTTCCGGGGACTCCGATGCCCTCGTCTGCCTTCCTCAGGTACCCTCCAAAAGAAGTCTAGCTCAACGGGCAGTGGGGGAAGCTAACAATAAGAACTAGAAACACAAGTCACCACCAGTTGGGTTTTATTTTATTGTAACTGCAATTCTGCAAAGAACATTTGTTATTTAAATTTGTTCAGACATGCTTTTGTTCACATATATAAAATCTGTTGAGTTGTAATCCTTTCAGAAGAGAATTCAGGGTTCCACTTCATTGTACTGGCTCATTTTACCTTGTTGCAAACATTTCCATGTGTCCTCTGCAGAGCATAAGTTGTGTGTCCCTGCGTCTGCAGTGCTCCTAGATGGCCCCTGGCTTACAGGGGCGTGCTATAGGCCATGGCTGTCAGCAGCAGGATCCTCACTCCAGTGAGCATCTCGTTTCTCTGCCACGAGTTTGATGAACTGAGAGTGGCTAGCATAGAGCTTGAGCTGGTCGCTGATGTCAACCCACTTCACCTTCCCAGCATCATCTCCAGCCTCCAGGGTGAGATTGTCCATTGTTTCCCCTAGTTACCATAGAAACAGCACCCAAAAAAGGGAAATTCTTTTACTCTGCTTTTTTTTTTCTCAATGTAATTCTGTACTTTGAAATAATCTTACTAAAAATAAGAATAAATCATTGTTATTAGGTAGCCAAAGAATTAAAAACCAGAGTATTCCAAAAATGCCTGAATTTTAACTGATTAAATATTACATGAAAACTTTTCTCTTTAAAGACTATTCTCCTTGAGAGAGATACCATGCTATATGAAAGCCTAGAAGGACTGAGCAGTCTAAGGGACCTCAAACAGTGGAACCAGGATGTATTCCTGATGCACAAAAGGACCTTGCAGACACATCCCCCATGGAGGGATACTGCCTTAATCTAGAGAGAGGAGAGAAGTCCTAGTCCCTACTTCAAACAACTTGACAGATTTGCATGACCCCACCTGGATGACATTGCCCTACATGTGGAATTGGGGGGGGGGGGATGGGAGGGGAGGGTGGTCAAGGTGCATGTGAGGGGGGAGAGAGGGTAAGAGGGATGGAGGGAGGGATGGAGGGAGGGAGAACTGGGATTGACATGTAAAATAAAAAAAAAAAAATTCCAGAAGGATTATAGAGCTAAATATTAAAAAAAAAACCTGAAAAGCAAATTTATACCTCATTTTGTAGTCTTAAATTATATAATCGAAAGCCAAACAAGGAACTAGAATACCGTATATCATATATTTATAATTGTTTTTATACATGTATAAATTCCATCGCAGGGGTCACCTAAGATCATCAGAAAACAGAATTTACACTACAATTCATAGCAGTAGCATAATTACAGTGTTGGAATAGCAACAAAAATAGTTTTATAGTTGGGGTGTGGAAGGACTGCAGCGTCGGGAAGGTTGAGAACTGCTAACTTAAAGTGTCGCATTACCTCAGGACACTCGCAGCATGCTGTGTTTTGTCTGAACTAATAACACCTAGACTTCTTTTACTCTTCTGATCATTTGATTAATATTTAAATCCATACAGAGTTTGGCAGCCACCTCCCCCACTCCTAAGAGAAGGAAGCTAAACTGAAAGCAAACAGTTCTCGGATCCACCCCCTCAGGTAGGAAATCCTCCATCTCAGCAGCCAGTCTGGAACACACTGTTTACCTCCTTCCTGTACAATTATTTTACCAACAAGGGGTTCCATTGTGGACACACCTTAGACCTTACCAGGAAGTCTATTCCAGATGCCCACAGAAGCGAGGAAGACAAATCAGTAAGACTGAGGACAGAGGCCTAGTGCCCACAGGTTTACTTGCCTTAATTCCTTTTGTTAGATAAACCACGGCCAGTCTATATCAGCAAACACCAGAGCCAAAGACTGGGAATTTATGAGCAGAGTTTTCTTTTTACAGAGAAAGAAAGACCCACTTTCCATCTTTGGAGAAAAGGCCATTTGTTTTTAGCCTCACAAATAAATAATGGATCTTGTACAGTTAAACTAGAAACCCCATAATAAACCCCATTTGCACATGCCTTCTAAGTTCTCCTACTTAGGGATGAACTCTGCATGGTCTAGTTGGAACTGCCACAAAGAGATGGGAATTATGCTGGAGTTCCCCAAGGTCAAGTAAAGGCAGAGTGAAAGGAGACCTCCCAGTCTGCACTACTGGTCCAAGGACAAGTGATTAGCATAAGAGCAGGCAGCTCAGCAAAGAGCCAGAAGAACACGGAGTTCTCTGAACATGGCCTCATTTCATTACTCCTCAAATGAATGCCAAATGCTTAAAACACCACTCAGCTCAGCAAGAAAGGATGTTCTGAGGGGAGAGACGATGCGTAAAGATCCTAAGTCATTCTAAGGACAGAAAGCTCCCTCCTCTTCTGTAATAACAGACTGTCTCTCCCATAAGTGCTAAGACACACAGATGAGGAAACACACTCACTCAACAACACATCTTTACTAAAAAACATCAGTCCCTGGGCTGCTGCACCAGGACAGCGATGCCTCACACAGCAAGATAAATGTAAATGCCATTTATTAGCTCATTGACAAACTGCCCCACCCAAATTCCCACTTGTTTACACAAATTTAATTATAGTTTAATAATTGTACTAAATAATTGCTGGCTTTAAATTGCATTGTTTTAGCCTATAAATCCAACTTCACATGCCATCAACAGATTAAGGATGTTTCAGTCACTGCTGATAAACTTGGCAGGCTTTGCTCTAAGCTTTCATTAAATACTAACAACTTCCCTGGCAGATGAGCACAACCCTAAACTCAATAGTTAATGGGTTTAAAAAGCTAAGATACTCTAGATGTAATGGCATCCTAGTGGACATCTTGGCTCCAGCTGGTCAACTATAGTCAGTGGAACCCAGTTAAGGCTAAAATCACCTGTTTCATCATGGTAGTTCACAGCTTCTGTCTCCATCCATGCATTGTCAGTGTTCCGAGGGTCGTCAACATACCCCTTATATATCTATTATAAAAGGGGATGGAAAAACAATGGTCTAGGGTGAGACAGGAGAGAGTAGGAGGTAGACTAATATGTATAAACACCCTGATGCACACTTAACACTAATGAACTGGACATTTTAAAATAGTTAAGATTGTATGTTATGTTACATGATTTTACCCTCCAAAAAAGGCTTACAAAGGAATGTGAATAGCACAGAACCTTTACCATAGCTTCACAGACTTGTATTATATTTCTCAGGGGATGGTATTCACTTTTCATGCAGCTTTAAATTTCACAAAAACCTCAGCACCACAGAATCTGAGAGGGATTGGGGGGTGTAGCTCAGTGGTGGGATATACTTAGTGTCCTGGAGGCCCCAAGCTCCACAGCACCAAAGGATAAACTAAGAGATGTCAATATGGGTCATGTCTATAATATAAGTATTTTCTGTTTAAATAATTTCTGTGATTATTATTTCATATATTGAAGGGTTATATTGATAACCTAGGAAACAGAGAGGAACCTAAAAATTGAAATTTGAAGATAATTAGTAACAGAAAAAAGTTAGATCCAGTCATCCAGCAAAAACAGAATAAGATGATCCACACAGCACATATAACAAACAGGAATCCCCCTCAGGAGGCCAAGGGAAGCAATTAGGAGACCCGGCACAGGGTTGGACAGAGCTCAGTCAGCAAGGTGAATGCTGGGTAAACAAAGGAGACCCATGGATCCCTGGGGCTTGTTGACCTGAGGTACAAGTTACAACCCTTAAAAAAAAAAAATTAAGAGATCCCAATTCTGGAACAAAATCAAAGAATGAGAGTCAAAAAGAAAAGAAAATCTATCATTTCATTATGGATGCCCAAATGCTTTCTGTGGTATTTTCTTTTAGTTACACAGAGTATATAGACAAAATAGGCATAAAATTTAAATAGTTTGCAATACAACCCCTCCCACACCCATAGAAACATCTTGTAAAAACAAATCTAAGACATAAAGGGCCTTTCACAACAATTAAATTCATATAAACAAACAGACCTGTTTAATGAATTCTCAGTATGTGAGAAAACAGCTTATTTGTCACACGAGTCCCGCCCTCAGCTGAAGAAAAGTCAGATGGGGAAAAGCAGTAAATGATGAGCTGAGCTCAGTCTGCCTGGTGAGCAGTTCCAGACCCTGCTGGCCGTTCACTCACTTGGACCTGGGCCTCCCAGCCACCCCTTACCACAAGGTGCTCCTGGCTGAAGAGCGCGTGTAGCTTCTTCTCTATCTCCCTCTTCTCAGCACTGGACTTCTGTAGCGAGTTCAGGGCTTCCTCACCGAACTCCCTCTTCAGAGTGGCACTGATCTTCTCCCCAGGGTCCACCATCCCCTACGGTGACATGTTTTAACAAGTAGTGAGAAATCTTTCTACACCGATTTACTGACTGGCACAATAGACATGCACTTACTGTTTGTTGTTCTCCCCACCCCAACCCTGAAAGAACCAGAAGCAGCCAAGAGAGGCATGGCATGCACTGGGTCATAGTGATTGCCCCAGGATCAGGCTATGGCAAACTGTGCCAGGCAAACTCATTTCTTGATATGTTCCAACTCAAACTACAAGGCCTGGAGCCAAGGAAACAGCACAATGAGTCTCCACACTTTGGAGTCTGCCCCAGTCACAGAGCAATGACTTCCCACACTATGGAGTTGTTCCAGCCACAGTGGCTTCTTCGGCATTTACAGAACAGGACCATCTGAGAACTGATGCACCTGTCATTTGCTTTGTCCAAAATGTTTCTCCACAGAAACTATTCATTCATTTCCTTCCTAATGTCATTTAAATGTCACCTTCCCCAAAGGCCTTCTCTAGCTAGAATTGCAATTTCTCAATCACTTTTTGCTTCCTGTCCTGCTCTAGTTTTTCTTGTATCATCTACTGACTCAAGAATGTATCAATGACAACAGCTGCTTCCTTGATCAGATTTCAAATAACAATAAAAATGTAATGCCCTACAATGAAATCATTCTTTTGTCACACACTTAGCATGAGCAATCTGGCTTGGATCCATCAGCTACAGTCTGTAATTCCATTCCACTACAAAGAAAAACATATTCTTACCGATGGTAGTATGTTCATAAAAACATTTCTTCACTCAAGCTACCTCTAGCTCACAACAAGACATAAACTACAAAGCCTCTACCACATATATGATACATACGTTAATATGTATCTTCAAATATAGCAATGGCACAAAGTCAATATGGGCTACAAGTACACCCTTCCTGATGGTGATATGGAACTTCAGGGAAAGTTTGTAACAAGTGGTATCTTTTTATTATACTTAAAATCTTTAAGAATCCAATAAGACTAAAAATAAATAATTGAGTTTAGAGTAGGGGATTGAGATGGACCTTACATAAGTGCTGATCACATGCCAAATAGTCATTGACTATCTCTCCAAGGTAACTAGGGCTACCGTCATTTTAATAATGAGGGCCTGGCCTCCATCACCCGGGACTCCATCATCCTGGATTCCATCATCCTGGACCCCATCACCCAGGACTCCATCACCCTGGACTTCATCATCCTGGACCCCATCACCCAGGACTCCATCACCCTGGACTCCATCACCCTGGAACCCATCATCACCCTGGACTCCATCATCACCCTGGACTCCATTATCACCCTGACCTCCATCATCACCCTGGGCCCCATCATCACCCTGGACTCCATCACCCAGCAGCAGGTACACAGGGCAGAACATAAGCCTCCATCTAGCCAAAAGTTCACGTTCTTCCCAGAGACACTACAATTGTACCTGAATCCTAAAGGCTTATATCACTCTAAACTTGGTGACAAAAGACTGTGGTGAGATGTGAAGGAGTAGCCTCCTCACACAGGGGCTTCACGGTGAGCTAAGCAATGAACAGTGACAGCAACAGCGGAAGGCAGAGCCATGCTTACCCCCGGGATTGCCCACTCTCCACAGTCTTTCCTTTTTATTGCCACAAACTGTAAGATGCATTTCCCGGAAACAGGATGTGTGATTTTATTCCCGCTGTCATCCCTTTTCCACCTATGAACAGGACAGAAGACAAGGTTCCAGCTCATACCTGTGACAACACTATTTTCTCTATAACAAAGTACCTATTTACCACAAATCAGCCAGTTTAAAGGTCTGTTTTTATTAGAAAAGTGCTATATTTAGCCTTGTTATAAACTTATAAACTAAGAGGAAGTTTACTTCACACAAGGATACTATAGTCTTTGTAAGGAAAATTTAAATTACACACAATTTTTAGTCTTTAAGTCAGTTAAAAAAATATTTAAATGCAGAACTTAATTTGAAGGAAGGGTTTTCAAAGGGATTGCATGATATTTTTCACCAAGAATCCCTCTTAGAAACTGAAGGGAAAAAACACACTTGGCAATACTTCTATTGATAACATCACCCTGGGATATTAGCAAAGCAGCCTACCCACTAGTTTCAGCTGAGGGTCAAATAGTGCTTCTCAGTCTGACACCATCTTTAGGCTGCGGGGGGAGGGAGGGGGAAGGCGGGGGTGGGAGTGGGGTGGGGTGGGGACTCTGTCCTATACTTAATTTTATGTCTTGAATAAAATTACATGGTTAGGGAATGATCGGTCTGAGCACACTTTTCTAACAACATCCTCTTTTCTGAAGACAAGCCTCCCCTCCTGGTCCTAACCAACACCCACCAACTTCAAGGCTTTTTCTAAAATTGGTCTTCTGGACAAAAACAAGAATTTTGCACTTCCAATAAAAAGTGGAAAAGCAAAGCCTATGATGGAAGTCCCACTCTAGATGAAATGTGAAAGCACACTGGTTTGGATGGGTCTGTAAATTTCTTATCTAACCCACAATCCCTCATGAAAGAGCCGGTGGTTCTAGAGTAGAGCTAAACCCCCAAAGAGACACAGGTTTCAGACTGAGGAGTACAGGAAACAGAAATAAAAGAATAATTAGTGCAGACCCAAAAATAACATAAGGAAGATACAAAGCAATAAAACATTGGTCCAAGAAACTGAACATCTAATCAAGGTCTAGCACTATAAGCAAGTGAGAGGGAGGGTGGAGCATGAAGAAGCTAAATAAGAAGCCAGTGGAGGTTCACATGCAGAGTCCTCAATCTGTGCTCTTAAGAGGTCCAGGGGACACTGTTCAGCGGGGTAATGCCACAGCCAGTTAGCACTTTACAGAGCTCACACCTACTGCCACAGAGGCATGAGGGAAACAGAATGTCTTAAAGACCAGCTAGCTAAAATGCCATTGCCATCTACCACTTGCTCTTTTTTTCTTTTACTTTTACATGTCCATACTTAATAAACTCACTCATTTGAAACTGAAGTTGTGTTGTTCATAGATCATTCTCCATCTAGACCATCCTCTGTGAAGGACAGCATCCCATGGTTCCCTTCTAAGATAAGACTGTAAACAAGTTTACCCCTTTAGACATTCGAAGCCAGGGGTAGGAGTGACTTGTCCATTCCCAAGATGCCTTCGGGGTCTTTCCTGTGACAATTCACTGAAAGCTCCTGGGTTCTTTTTAATGGCATCAAATTCTTTAACAACAGTGCCTTCCTTGGTGTTTTTATGAACAAACAAGTATACCATAAGACATTATGACATGCCACTCCAGCTGGCCCATACGTCTTATGTTCAGTAAGTCTCTTGCATCAAGAGGCTGCAACCAATGACTGTCCTGCATCATCTAGGCTTGTATAAGCATACTGTGTGACAGGCACACAGTGAGGAAATTGCCCAATGGCACATTTCTTAGAACCTGTCTCCAGTGCTGAGCAATCCAAGACTATACTTAGTTACATTTCACACTTCTTATTTTAAGTTTCCCACCTTGCCAATTATCAAAACCTTAATTCTTATACACTCTAAAGTACCTATTCAGTGCTGAAATATCTGCCAGGTGTGTCCAAACTTGTGACACTGTAACATGACTTTGTCATTTACAAAACTCATGCTTGAGAAACAGACTCTCAAGTTTAAAAAAAAAAAAAATCATCTCATGTGCTGGACCACATTCATAGCCATCACTGGGAAGTTGCAGCTCTTGGGCAGTAAGCTAGACATGCCTGGTAGATAATGCTTGGTGTATACCTACAACATAAAACTGAAGCTAAATTCACTGGATTGATTTTGAGGCTTTGAGATGGGCCTCAAATCCATAACAATCCTCCTGCTTCAGTCTCCCAGGTATGCAGATTAGGAGCATAAGCCACAATACCTAGCTAAAGCCACAGCTTCCTTCTTCCACCACATACTATATGTCACATAACATCCCACGTATGTGCATACATAGTTCTAGACCTACTTATACAAATGCACACAGGTGGAGCTAACATTTATATTTTTCTGATCACTAAACTCTTTGCTACTGGAACATCTTACTCAGTTCTTACCTGGTTATAATGGGATCTGCAGCATGATTTGGGCCCCATCTCCCCAGAAGACCCCGGCCAACCAATCCTGTCCTCCCTGCAGGATTTCTAGGAAGGGAATGGACAAAAGACCACAACAACACACAATTGAATGCATTCATTTTTTTAAAGTTTGGCTTGATACAGCATGCATGCATGTACACATGTCTGAAAGTGTGCAGGCCACTGTGTATACACATCTGAATGTGTGTGGGCAGATGTGCGTGTACATATGTGAAGGCACAAGACTGACATTCAGCCTGAAGTGTCTTTACGACAGCTCTCCAGTTTATCCAGAGCAGGCTGATCCACTAGTCTGAGGTAGCCTAGCTAGCCAGTATATCCCTAAGACACCCTGTTTCTATCCCTTTCTTGAGCCATAAGATTACAGGTAACCACCATGCTGGCTCAGCTTTTATGTGGGCTCTGGGATGCCAAACTCCTATCTTTATGTCTATACAAGAAGAGCTTAACCCACAGAGCCATCTTCCCAGCTTTGTTTTTGTTTGTTTTTTCCAGACAGGGTTTTCCTCTCTGTGTTCTGGCTGTCCTAGAAGTTGCTCTGTAGTCCAGGCTGGCCTTAAACTTACAGAGATCCTCCTGTGTCTGCCCCCCAAGTCCTAGGATTAAAAGTGTGCTCCTCCACTGTCCAACCCAGAATAAAATGTCAGCTACCCAAATCCATACTCACACCATGCTCATTAGCACACCAGCACTCACACCATGCTCATTAGCACACCAGCACTCACACCATGCTCATTAGCACACCAGCACTCACACCATGCTCATTAGCACACCAGCACTCACACCATGCTCATTACCACACAACATTCATGTCATGCTCATTACCACACCAGCATGCGTGCCCAAATACATTACTACTGTTGAAAATTAGTGACATTTTATATTGTTTTATACTAAACTCACAAACATTTGTTTAAAGTCACCTGGCCAACTAACGATATTGTTTTTTCTTCAGACTTATAGAAGGACAGGAATGGGAGATGGGCAAAAAGAGCCTTGATGTTAAAATTGCTGGGTTTTACTTGTCTTTTAAATTGAATTTGTGTGTGTGTGTGTGTGTGTGTGTGTGTGTGTGTGTGTGTATACATGCAGAGGCCAGAGAACAAGCTACAGGAGTCAATCTCTCCTTCCACCATGAGTCCCCGGGGCAGGTGCTCTGCCTTGTTGCGGAGATTTTACGCTAAGCACTCTTAACCAGCATGGTCTTACATGTTTGGATGAATCGTTACTATAAACCATTAACTCATTTAATAAATACCCATTGAAAACATAAATTTTAATCCTTTTATAAAATTATGAAACAATACATTCAAATCCGGTCTCCAGCACTAACTATGTGCAAAGTGCTAACATTCCTTCCTAATCTGTTAAATGGAACTAATAATATATGCATGCACAAGGAGTTCTGTGCATACACACACAGTTAAACTCGAATGCTAACACCTCATCTCCCTGGAGACCTTACACTAAGCCACTTCACACCAGCACCCACCTGGGTCTCCCATTTTCAATCTCATACAGTCCATTCTGGCTCTTTCTCTCTACATGCCCATCTTTTTCATTGAATTTGGGAGAAAAGTTGCTCTCACTGCAATGAGAATGACAATGCAAAACAAAATAGTGATTAAATACAGCTTAGCAATGTAACTCACTGTTACTCAAAATAAACAGTTCCTTTGAAAATTTATTAGAGTAAGTTCTGATTTACAAATCATCTTATTCAATCAAAACAGGTTCTAGGGGTGGCCGAAGACCCTTTAGCCAGAGCAGAAAAGGGTATCACATTATGAGGACTACTAACCCTTACTAACCCTCCTAAATGCACAAAATGTTTACATCATACCAGCAACTCAGAGCTGTCTGTGGGGATGATATGGTTAACTGCTGGCTCCTACAGGATTCCAAATGAAAGATTCCCTCTGAACAATGTGATCTCTCTACTGCTTCAATGTAACTTTAATTACCTTAATTTAATGCATATTGACTAATACTGTCAAATATTCACATATTATCAAAATTCACAAAGGGTGAATTCATCCCATCAACTATACGATAAATATGATGCATATTAAAAATAGCCATAATGCTGGAGATCTTAACCTGAATTGCACTTGCACACTTCAGAAATGTGCACTGGTTACATTTTATGTCATGCCTCAACAGAAACGTTTTATAATAAACAGTATGTAAAATCTTGCAAATAAATTAAAACAAGACAAAATTAACCAGACCCAGAATCCATACAATTCAATAGCCTGCTATACAGTTAGCATAGGCATTCAGAACAGAGGCTATAAAGTTCTGCATTACATTTTATACTTTCTGTATCAAACATATTCCTTAGTGCTATCATGTAAGTACTATAAACCAAACCCAAGTCCTCTGTAAGAGCAACAAGTACTCTTACAATTTGCTTACTGAGCTCCCTCTCTAGTTCCTGAAAGCTTTTTAAAAATAAAATGGTTCTACTTCTGTATTATATTTATCATTAAAAGAAACATAAAGAGAGAAAAATGGGGAAGATGGCACTGGAAAGGCACAAGGCTTTGGTGACATATGAGAACTAATTCTAGATATCTACTGTCCAGCCCAGCGACCACAGCTAATACTGTGCTGTAACCCTGAAACTTGTTGAAGACAGTCCTCAATTGCTCTCGCCACAAAACAAAGTATAAGAGACAGCAATGGCTATGTTAACTGGCTTTACTCTGGTAATCATTTCACGACATATGCATGAATCAAACTGCTGAGCTCTGTATCTTAAATACATATAATTGTTGTCGATTATAGCTTGCCAAAGCTGGAAAGGGAATATAATCATTATGGTGATATATTATTTATGATTTATTAAAGCCTGCCTAAGGATTCAGAAAGCAAAGCCAGCTTCAAGCTGTAGAGATCAAGCAATGGTGATACACAACTTTAATCCCAGAACTCAGGATTAAGAGGTAGGTAGATCTCTGAGTCCAAGACACCTTGGGCTACCAGAAAATGAATCCGAGCTCACAGCTTTAATCCCAGAATTTGAGAGCTATAAAAAGTAGAGGCATTCAGTCTGACAGTGAGTCTCTAGCTGTGTTGAGGAGAGCATAGCAGTCTGAGTGAATCTAAGGAGCAGTGAAGTAGGGAGCAGTCTGAGGATCACCCCTTTGGTCTGAGCTGAGGTAGAGTAAGAGCTAGTGGTCGGCTGCTTTGCTTTTCTGATCTTCAGCTTGACACTTAAACCCCAATATCTGTCTCTGGGTCCTCTTATTTAATTGTGTTACAAATCATAAAACATGAATCAACCCAGCACTTCCAGGAAACAAAGCACTCTTCTATTTTTTCGTACTCATCATCTGTTTTTGGCTATCTGGAAAAATGTCTGCCAAATATTTTCACAACCTCAAACACCAGCCTAGCTCTGCTGGAACAACAAAGGGTGTACAACTGTTAACCCAACTACCACATGCAAAAACAGATACTACCTGCTGTTATCATTACAAACCGAACAGTAGCTGTTTCAAACTAAAACAGATTTGCCTATTAGGAGAGATCGTCACAAAACTTAGAGTAAACAAACATGGACTGTTTGGTTTGGGCAAATTCAAGGAAAGGTAGAAACTGACATGTAACAATACCCAGTATAAGGATTCAGGCATTACGCTGGCCTGCCCTTGTCACCTGGCAGAATGCACTCAGGCAGTACTCTAGTCAGCCCAGGGTTCCATGAGCACTAGTCTGCAGGCAGGTGCAAAGGACTCCTTTAAAAGTCATACCCCTGCCCACTTTCCTCTCTTTTGCTTTCTCTTTTCCTCTCTCTTTTCCTCCCTTTTGTGCTCTCTCTCTCTCTCTCTCTCTCTCTCTCTCTCTCTCTCTCTCTCTCTCCTGCTTTCAGTTGGCCACCAGCTACCTCCCTCTTTTCTCCCTCTCTTCCTCCCCCCTCTCTCCTCTTCTGTTCCCGGTGCCTCTATGTCTCTTCCCTTCTCCCTCACTCCCCTTTCTAAATAAACTCATTTAAGCTCTATCTGCCTGGTGTGTTATTCCCTCCTCCTCCAGCCCTGGTCACCCTCACCTGCTATGCAACCTGCTATGCTCTCCCACATGGTCCCTTACCTTGGGAACCCACTCACTTGGAATCCTCACCCAGGACCACTCACCCCCACCCCTTCCCAGCTTTTATTCTTATAACTGTAGCTAAAGAACAACACCCAAGATGGATAAAAATGGTTTCTCTAGGGACAAATGATAACTTACAATACATGATCTGAAGCTGTCTTACAACCTGCTGACACCACCTTATCCCTCACCTGATCTGAGGATCTGCCCATCTGGGGCCAGCCAGGACAGAGACTGCTGTATACTCCACCGGGTTGTAGTCTTGCCACTCAACAAGCCAGCCCACCTTCTCATTAGGAACCTGACTTCGTTCAACTTTTGAACCTGGGTAAGGAGATGTCCGAGCCTTGTTGTGGGAATTCTCTTTGGCACCATTAGAACCAGACATGATGTTGGTGTTAAGGTGAAATCCACAGGATGGAAACGAGTTTCTGAGGAGAAGGAAAACATCTTATAAACATTCCAAAAGCATTTGAATTAAAGACCCTAGTTCAAATATTCCCAAAACATTTTTTCAATTTCAAAAACTTTTAAAAATTGGGGCTGAAGAGATTGGTGACTCGGGGGTTAAAAGTGTGTATTGTTCTTCCAGAGGACCCAATTGTTAATCTAACAATTTAGCCAGACAGCACACAACCACCTATAACTCCAGGGTATGCAAGGCCTCTGATCTCTGAGGGCACCTGTATTCACATACATACATACATACATACACACACACACACACACACACACACAGGCACACACCGCATGCACACAGGCACACACCGCATGCACACACAAACTAGTTAATCTTATGACTATTGCCTATTGACTGCAATTGTTATAGCTGAAGAAACAAAGGGTGAACTTTTTAGTTTTGTGTTCCTTTAGGATGGGGGTGTGGAGTGCTATGAGAACTCAGTCATGAGTAAAATTTATAAATAAATTTGCAAAAAAAAAAAAGTAAAAAGGATGTGTTCAAGTTTTTGCACAAGTTATCTAACCAGATTCCAGGTTTATGTTTTTAAAAAGGAAAGTCAACAGAGTTGTCCTCTATTTTGAAATGAAAGATGTTTCAGGTATGGGAATAGGACAAGAAAAAAAATATTCATTGTTTTATTCTATCCTAACCAAGTACCAAAACTATTAAAGTAATCTGAGATGCTCTGTTCCCTGATTTAGGGAGGGCTAAGCAAGCAGAGTTGTGCCAACATGCTCCCCACTCTCAGGAAACTTACAGGCCTGACTGCTCACTTTCCTAAGTATCATAGCTGGAGAGACACTTCTGCTAAGAACAGCAACTACCCAATCACTGAGGACTAGATTTCAGGTACCAGTACTCATCTAATAAGCCAGGCATCCCATACATACCTGTGACCTTGGGGTGGGGTGGAGGGTATCAGAGGCAGGAGGAGCCAGACCAGAAAAACAAAACAAAACAAAACAAAACAAAACAAAACAAAAAAAACACAAGCCCCAGGTTCAGAGAGAGAGAGTCTTCCTCAAAGGAAGAGGGAAGAGGCAAACAGTGAGTGATAAGGCACCCACTATCACCTTCTGGGCCGCACACAGGTGCAGACACACACACACACACACACACAGAGAGAGAGAGAGAGAGCACCCATAAATATTTTTAAATAAATATGGAAATAAAATTGGACTATGTATCTTCCCTACAGAGAAGTGCTAATCCCCTTTACATCTGCTCTCCAGTGTGAGAACAGTGACAGCTACCAGAACAAGAACACTTACTATATACATTTACAGACCTAAATCTTCTTTATTGAATGATAGGTCTATACAAGAAATATTTGCCCTAACAAATGGGAATTAGGCAACTAACAAAAAGCATCTTAGAAAGCAGAGGCCAGGTCCTAAGACTAGTGATAAAAGAAATTCAGTTGTGGCATGAGCTCTGAACTGTTCCAAGTGATGGAATTCTGCTCACTCACATGACTCTCAGAAGCTGTTTTGGAAATAAGTCCAATAAAAGACTAGGGTGAGCCTAGTAAGTTAGCTGAGGTCACACCCTCACAGCAGAGTCAGAATCCAGGCCTCACAGAGCTGGGCCACGCCCCTAAAGAAAGTTATAGTCACAAACCTCTTGATGATAACTGCTCTTGTTTGCAACATTGGATTAGCAGGCACTCAATATATACTTGCTGACGTAGCTTTGGGCTTTTCTTCTAAATATGGAGTTTCAGTTCTGGATATTTAAGAGTTCCCTTTCCCCATCTTACTAAAATAAAGAATAAACACCAAGAAACTTAACAAGGTCCTGGTATAACAATAATGAAAGTGGAGTTAGTGACTTCCAGAGAGCTGGGTTTCTCCCTCGGCAAACCCCACTGAAGAAGACCAGATGTATAGAAAGAAGTTCATTCACAAAGGGACACTCTGATTAAGGGGTTTTAATCACTGTCAGGAAGACAGAAAATGGATGGAACCGTGGGGTCTACAAACCACAGAAGTCATTCTGTTTTCAAAAGAAAAAGGAAGATGCCACTCCAATAAGCAGAGCCCTTTGAAACTTCAAACTTGGTCTTATAAGTTGGCCAGGAACCAAGGATTAACCTCTTTCCTCTGCATAAGCCTCCAGCACAAAGTCAGGTTTGAAGTGTGGGTGTGGCGATATCTTGCTTGTACAAATAAAAACCTGTCTGAAGATCAGAGGATGGAGCTTGCCACTAGCTTACCACAGAGGCCTAGCATATCTGACAGACTGTTCTGTGACACAGGATACCCTGAAGGACTGGACCACCTTCTCATGCCAAGGTTTGCAGTCACTCTTTTGGTGTCCTGTTTGTCCAATTGATCCTGCTTGGCAGCCAGCTGTTTCTGTCAATTCTCACATTTTTTGGAAGTCGTTTGCTTACACTTCCTGCTTACTCAGTTAATATTATCTCCTCGGGTCTCTGAGGGAGTTGAAAACTAGATAGCATAGTTATAGTTTTCTTTGTTTACCAGATCAGAGAAGAAACTCACTAGAGAGGTGTAAAGTGTAAAAGGTTGAGAGACATTAAAAGATAATGTGATAATGCAAATTAGAATCAAGAAAGAATAGATAATGGCATATTTTCTCTGAATTTGTCAAATGTTAATGGACTAGATATTGCTAAAGTACTTATTGCCTGTATATATTATATATATTGTATATACTTTTTCTTATATTAACTATAACCTTTTTATTTTTAGACAAAAGCGGGGGATATGTGGTGATATCTTGCTTGTACAAATAAAGTCTGTCTGAAGGCCAGCGTTTTAAGGAGGCGAGGGTCAGGCCCACTGCTACAGACACTAGTGTTGGAGAGCTTAACAGAACCAGGCTTACAAACTTTCCAAGTCACTGGGAAAGAATGTCGCGGCCGCTTTGCCCAGCAGAGAGAAAGAGCGAGGTTTCCCCGACGTACGTGAGCACACACTTAAACTTCCAGTCCATCAATGGAACCAGAAGCCAAGCCAATCGCCTTCGGGCGCACAGCAAGCAACCTCTGCTATCTATGTTTCCCATGCGGGCATTTAGTATTACCCCGACTCGGGGTAACTCACAACAAATGCTCTTCCGACTCTCTGGCGATGTGCGGATTAGCGGTGGCAGATTTAAAATTCAGAGGTCGAGAAAGCGCCTGGCTATTAGCTTTCCAAGCCCCAGTACGCGGGCAAAGCCTACAGAACCTTCAGTACAGGCAGGCGGGGGTCGCGGTCCGCCCGAGGTCCGGGAAACGGGGTACCTGGACTCGGGGATGCCGCGGCAGCCTGAGGACCGGACAGTCACGGACGCGAGGGCCACTGACAGCGACACTGTGGCTACCGCCTGCCCCAGGGAGCGGCCGGCCATCGGCGCCTGGCCTGGCGGGCGGCCGGCTCGGGGTGTGCCGCAACGGGGCCTGGAGTCGAGCCCCGCAGCTAGCGAGCTCCGATCCGGAAGCAGCGGGCACTAGGACCCGGCCGCGCTGGCCCCGAGCGGGACGCAGACGCCCACTCGAGCCGCGTCCACGGCGCCCGCAGCCACACGACGCGCCCGCCGCACGACGGCGCTTTACGACGGTGCCGCAAACGAACCTGCGTGCCGGGCCTACGCGTCTGCGCAGGCGCACTGAAGGCAGCAGCTGGGCTGGGCTGGGCGCGGGGAGCGGGGAGCGGCGCACTGAGGGCCCGAGCGGAAGGGACGGGGAGGTGAGAAGAGGCGAGGCGGACACACGTGTTTCCGGGAGAGGAGGGCCGCGCGGGGTCACGTGAGCGGCACGAGGTAATGAGAGGACGCAGGGACGCAGGGCGGCGCGGTGGCGGTTCCCGAAACGCTGTGGTCCTCTCGGTGTGGCAACTCGCAGTTTCCGTTTTTTTCCCCGCCGGTCACGTGGGGCGCCCCGGTCACGTGACCTCTGGCCCGCGTCTGAGCCCTCTCCCACGCCGCCGTGCGTGGTGGTGGCATTTCCCGTGAGACCCGCACTCACGGGACAATGAACTGCACAATGAACTAAGCGTCTGCACAATGAACTAAGCGGTGAACCGGGGGCCAGAGTTAGTTAGGTCGCGGGTTGTGAAACCCGGTGTGCAGAGCAGTTTGCGTTCCGGCTTTCGAAGCCTTCGTCTGCTGATCACACAGACCTGAAAGCTCTAAGTGTGTACCCAGCTTCAGCCTCCGCGCTGTGGAAGCACACCGCACACCGTAAGGTGTTGGCAGTTTTTAAAGCCTGCATGGCTCTCAGAGTGGAACAACCACGAGAAACTTGACTCTGCTGTAATACGGCTTACAGCACTTTAGGGTGCTGTCCTTGGGGTTGTACTAAACCCCTAATGCCCATTTGGATACAATCAAAGAATAGGATATTTACTTTTTTGTTTGTTTGTTTGTTTTAATACCCCTAGCCCAAACCTGGTCACGTATGGGAAAGTGGTGAAGCAAAGTAGAGATTATAGTTCAATATTCCTTCCCTGCACTTTGGACTGCAAGCCTGGCACCTAACATTTTTCTGGAGCTGTCTCTCTGAGGTGCGAGCATTCAGGAAGATAATTCACCTTGGGCTCCAGTCCCTGTGAGAGATGGTTGTCTTACTTCTACTTGGTCCCCTGCCTCCTGTCATATGTTTATTTCTCTGCTTGACAAGTGGCTTGGTCACAGATATCAACACTCACCAACACTTTAAATCTTTTAGCACTGTTCCCCAGCCTTTGCACATCTCCACTATTTTGTTTCATGTAAATAGAATCCAGTTCCTAATGCAGGAACTTACAGCAGCAGTAATCAATAAAACTTCCTTGTGTCTTTAACTAGTACCCTCATATGGGCTTGTCTTTTTAAGATTTATTTACTTTTATGTGTATAGGTGTTTTGCCTGAAGGTCTGTGCATCCCAAGTGTGTAGTGCCCACACAAGCCAGAAGAAGGCTTTGGGTTCCTCAGGACTAGAATTAAAGACAATTGTAAGCCACCTTGTAGGTGGTAGGAATTGAACCCAGGACCTCTGGAAAAGCAGCCAGTGCTTTAAACCACTGAGCCATCTCTGTAGCTCAGGCGTTATTTTGACAGTTCTTTCAGACAGTATTTTTCTTAAAATATTGTTGACATTAAAAAAAAAAAAAAACATAGCTCTCAGCCAGGCATTGGTGGCATATGCTTTTAATCCCAGTACTTAGGAGGCAGAGGCAGGTGGATCTCTGTGAGTTCGAGGCCAGCCTGATCAACAGAGCTAGTTCCAGGACAGGCTCCAAGCAATACAGAGAAACCCTGTCTCGGAAAAACAAAAACAAAATGTAGTTCTCAATTCAAAGGGTCGAAGAGTTTCTTCTGGAGCAAAATGTGAATGCCTATGGCCCCAGGAATACAGATTTAGATTACCCCAAATATCGTGTTCCTAGGTGGTAACAATTTCATTAAGTTTCTCTAGCAATAGAATAAAGAAAATCCCAAATCAAGACATGTTATGATACATTAGTGGAAACATCTGGTAGGCCCCAGCATATCAGTGAAATCTCTGATGTGGGCTTCAGATGTTATATGGTCTTTGGGATGGGGTCTGTCTGTGTGATAAAATGGGATTTATATAATAGTCATGATATGGGCAGTAAATAGCTATTTAGATAGATAACCCAAAATAATTTGACTCTGGACCTGCAGCATTCCAACTCTTCACAGTTGTGGGCTCTGCATCAGTTAACCATCCTTGTAGAATATCAATGTAGTTCAATGTACATTTGAAAGCAGATCCTAGTAGCTTATGAATGTAAATTCCAGCTCCCAGAAAACTGGGCAGAAGGATCAGAAGTTCAAAACCAGCCTGGACAACATAGCAAAACCTTATCAAAAAAAAATGTGTATTTAAAAAATAAATGTCAAACAGGGCAAGGTAGTGCACACCTTTAATTCCAGCACTCAAGAGGCAGAGGTAGATGGATCTCTGCAAGTTTGAGACCAGCCTGGTCTACTTAGGGAGTTCCAGGACTGCCAGAGCTATAGAGATCCTGTCTTCCAAAGGTTTACTTTCTTATAGAGGGACATGAATAATAAGAAGCTAGTAACATTAGACCAGGGGAGTGCTGAGTGACTGGGGATGTAGCTAAATTCTTAAGAGTGCTTACTTACCATGCACAAGGCCCAGAGGGTTTATGGTGGTAATCTCATAATCCCAGCACTCCTGAGGCAGGAGTATCAGAACTTCAAGATCATCATTCGCCTCAAGAAAGGAGGATGGAAAGGAAAGGAAGGGGAGGAGGGGGAGAAAAGTGGTGGGGTGCGGAATAAATCTGTGGGTGAGAGTTACTAGTTGAGAAAGGAGTCACTTTCCATTGTGATAAAGCTGTCCTGAGCTGGTCACAGTTGAGCAGAGATGGACATGTGAAGCTGTTGGCCACTGGACAAGAGAAGAACAGTCCATTTAAGAGAGCTGTAAACTAAATACGGTCTGGGAGAGGAAAGAGCTTGCCCACTAACAACAGAAGGCCAACGGAAGCATTGTAAGCAGGGATTAATAATTGCAGTGAGCTTTGTCTTTCTTTCCTCTGTGGTTCCTGTGGGAAATAACTACTTTAAGATGTAACCTCTACATGCCCTTCTGTGGTCAGTGAGATTAAGATGTATGTTTGCTGTGTGGGTCTTGTAAAAACCTGCTGTCTCCCTGGTGAAAGGGTCTGACTGGCTTCACGTGTGCATCCCATCTCCATACTTCATCCCTGCTGGGAAGGAGGGCAATTCCCCTAAAAATGGAGCAGCTATCTGACTACCCTGTTGAAAGCTGTGCCAAGTAAGAGAAGGAAATTGAGACTTTAATGGGTCCTGGAATATATACATCAGGCCTGGACAAGCTGCTTCAGAATGAAAGAAAACAAATTTCTACTTGGCTAAACCACGATTGGGTTTGCTTTATTTAAAAAAAGAAAAAAAATCTGACTTGAGAGCAAAATGTTTGGTGAAATTTTTCTAGCTCCCATGCTGTGAAAAGCCTTTCAAACTCCACAGATTTAGTCTTCACAAAATAGAGAAGTGCCTAGGAGCAGTAGTGTTGCTTGTAATCCCAGCAGAGGCAGACACAGGCAGATCTGAGTTCAAGGACAGTTGGGTTTACACAGCAAAGTCCAGGCTAGTGAGGAGCTATGGAGTGAGATGCAGTCAAGAAAGGAAGGAAGGAAGGAAGGAAGGAAGGAAGGAAGGAAGGAAGGAAGGAAGGAAGGAAGGGAAAGGAAAGGAAACAGGAGGAAGAAAAATTACTCAAGTTGAAAGTGAATAACAAGTTACTGTGAGTTATGGTGGGGTGAGCACACAGTAGTTAGCTCTCCATTATCTCGGTAAGATAGCATGAACTTATAAGAAGGTTGAGTTTGGCTCATGGTTTCCTAGGATTTGTTGCCTGTTGCTCTTGGGCTTACGCCCAGGCAGCACAAGGTGCACAGAGCACAATCAAGCTGTTCACTTCATGGGCAGAAAGTGAGAGAAGGGACTGGGCTCAGGGTTCCCATACGCCTTGAAGAGTAAGTCACCTCACCGCTGGCCCAACTTCTTCCCACTAGGCCCCACCTCCCAGAGGCTGCACCATCTCCCAGTAGCACTGCAGTCTGGAAAGCAGACTTGAACACAGACCTCCTGGAGATGTTCAGAAACCCAAACCATAGTGAGAAGTAGGATGGCCGGTTTCTCACTTACTCTCATTTCCCCTTTCATTCTCATCATTCACTGGGTCAAGCATAGCTTCCCTCTCCATGCCCTGTAGTAAGATTTTCTTCATGCCTCTGTGCTCTTCGGCCTCACTCCTGCAGGTTCTGATTTTTGATGAGTTAAGGGGCATTGAAAGGACTTTTAAAACTCTGACTTAATAAAGCTTGGCTTTCAAGATCCATCCTGTGCTAGAGACGGAAGTCCCCTTGACAGTCAGGCCTTTGTTCCAACCCTATCTGTCCTTCCCTCTGGAACACTGCAGCTATTATTTCAAGGGATAGAGTGCATCTGGCAATAAGATACAAGAATATTTTAAAAACATCTAAAATATTTCAAAAAATTATTTCCATGATGTTTTTCATTTTGATTATGCAATTTGAGCAAACTGCTTAATGTCTCTGTCTCCTTACCTGTAAAATGAGGAGATCATGATATTCAATATCATGGAGCTATGAGAACTAAGCATAGTAGTTTATAAAATGCCTAACAAATATAATAACCGTGCTTTCAAGCACTTACAACATAATCTCTACAAATTGCCATGTATCATATGTTACCATATCCTCTAGGGCATCTGCTGTGGTTTCCTTGGGGTAGAAGGTGATATAGACTCAGCACCAAGTTGCAAGGTCAGATTCATGCAACATGTCTAACAGTTTGTAAGGCTTGATGTGCCCATTTTCTTTGGTTGCCATAATAAATCAATAGTTTGAATTAGAGATTTATTTTCTCACAGTTCTGAGTCAGAAATCAGT